TGTGGACCAGTAACCAAGACCACATGAACTGGCACCAGTTCCCAGCCGAGTCGCCGCTGATCAGGATCCATCTGACATGAAGAAAACAGCACATACTTGCATGTTAGTTGTTTGTGGGGGGAGGCTCGGGTCTCAGTGCAGAGAACTCGGGGGCCCTGGTTTAGCTTCACACAAACACTGGAAGCAGGAAAGTAGTCAGACTATCCTTATCTTGAATCCTTGGAACAAAACTCACACAGACTCCAGCTCAGAGTATTTGAAGCGAATCCTTTCAGGACTCAAACTTTATTTTTATTTCATCCGAACAAAACAAAAAACAAAACAGTGGTTAAATACAAGCTCTGTTGAATAATATGAAGCATTTCTACTCTGTTTCTAAACCTTAATAAAATAGAATTATATCACTTTATAAAAAAAGCTCACTTTTCAATCTTCATCTGTGCCTTTTCATGATGGAGACCACACTCTGGTGCTCCAGACATTTTTGCATAAGGAGTGGACTCTTGTTCAGGACCAGCTGTGCTCAGAGGATTCAAATCCTTTTACATGTTGCATAAAGTATCAATGGACAGTAACATGGAGGGTCTGACCAGGCGGAGGTTGCATAGGCTTCTCTAAAGGGACACATGCATAATTTAGACAGAGTAGAGCAATGCAATAAGCAGCAGACTCGGTGTGCAACATCAACACAGGCGACAGGACGACACCTTATATTTAACTTGGTTATAGAACTGTTATACAGCTGACTGTCAATAAATACATGTGGTTATGGCACCGCTGATTAACATGAAGCTTTAAGGCCATGGTAACTGAACGCCTTCAGTGATGTCGCGTCTCTTTAAAGCTGCTGCGTGACGTGTATTTACACTTTTAAAGTCATCGCCAACATAAACCTGCGAGATGCTTGACGTCTAGTGGTGATGTCACCATAAGTCATCTTCTTCCTCACCACCTCGTCCATTATCATCCATCCTCAACTATCTGTGAGACACCTGATTTAAGGGTTTAACAGACGCCTGCCGGCCATAAAAGGGACAGTTCGGGTTGTGTGACGTTTCCTTTGGAACTACATTTTTCAACCGCTGAACTACTGTATTACTACGCACAAATGCAACTACGGCTGTATTAATCCGCAGAGCACGGGCCAGTTGCACAAAACACCTTAAGTTAAGATTTTGCTTAAGTCTGAGCTAAGGTTTCCATAAAATGTTCAATGAAGTATTAAAAGATTTCTTAAACTTAGTCTTAAACTTAAGGACTCACTTAAAATCAGTTAAACCGTTGCACGACAGACCAAAGTAAGCAAAGAACTAAAGGTACCTTTGACTCTATCTTAACTGCAACATGGTCGAGCTTAAGTAAAAAAATGAATTAAGATGATGATGATGTTTCACGACCAGGAAACACCCTTAACGATGCAGCAGAATTTTACTGTCACTGCTGCAAACGCCTCAGCTTTTTTCCTAACTAAGGAAACTTTTTTAAGAGATTCTGTGCAACAACCTTAAGTAACTCCCTCAACTAAGTAGAAATTACACCTCAAGTGCCATTACTTAAGTAGAAAACTTAAGGTGTTTTGTGCAACCGGCCCCAGCTGTTTGAGTCAGACAGAGCTAAGCAAAGGTGCACTTGTGCCTAGGAATACGGTAGTTCAACAATTAAGAAAATGTAGTTTTAAAGTAAAGGGCTGTTTGACGGCAGATCAAATGTTGAAAATATACAAAAGAAAACAACACTTCAACTGATATTAGCTTTTTTTCCTTCTTGGTTTTGTGTGGCTAAAACACATTTTCCTGCTGACCCCGCCCACAGCAGCTATAGGTACCTCACATAACCCCACATGAAATAACCTGAACTACCCCTTTAAGTAGGAACGTATCCTTCCATTCGTGGTATGAATACAGTGAGAGGACGTGGACGTAAAGTCGACGGTAGGTAGCTCAGTTCCTGCTCTTTACCAGATGAAGTCATAGATTTGGACCTGACTATATAAAGCTGTGTTTATGGTGGAAAAACTGGGCTACAGAGTCCAGAGGACGTCGCTTAGCAGATATAACGTACATGTAAGATCAGATCAGGCTGCTGAGGACCTGCTCTATTTAAAGGCAGTGTAAAGGTGAGATAGCTCAGTTATTGAGCGCTACAGGTCAGAACACTGGGCTTCCACAGGTATGACCATCCAGTTTTAACAGATGTGTAGTGATGTATCCAAAATGCGGAAACTAGTGAGTCAGCTCAGCAGTTTCACTTAAACGTCCAAACTGTCTTAGATATAAGGTTTTCTTTCTGAAATCACCTGAGCTCCGTCAGTCCTTCTCAAAGATTAACATATTACACACATGTTGTGGTACTTGTTGCGTAAGAATCTGTAACAGAGAAACCTGATCTGGCCACTGTTGCCACAGTAACATGATGGATCAATAATATACACAAATATGGCCAAAAAAGGGAAAGTAGCTGTGAAAGTGTGTGGAGGTGTTTGTGTGTATTTTTAGGGCTGTGCGTGGTGTGAGGAGAGAGAGAGAGAATGTAGGATAAAAAGAGCGGGTGCAGGTTATTTTGGGTTTGAACAAAAAAAAAAGAAAAAAAAAAAAAAACAATCGCCAGCTTTTCAGCTCAGACACTGGCATCAGGAGAACACTGTGGTCCAGGAAAACGTCAGAGGCAAAGTAAGTGTCACTGTGGTCAAGACAAAAAAGCACCTTCAGAAAACAATCAGCTCTGATGAGATGATTGAACAGTTAAAAAGAACAAAGGAAAACTGATTTAAACTTCATGAAACATGAACAGACGTCTCCTTCTTCCTGCTTTAGTGGATCAGCTGTCATGTGACAAGATACAGTTGAGTGTTCTTACACAAGAACAAAGGAATAAACATCCGACAGATTTTTGGTTCTTCAAAATACATTCAGTAAATATTGAACAGTTCATTCTGAGTGAAGACTGACACACACACACACACACACACACACACACACACACACACACACACACACACACACAGATCATCATCCTTCAATAAGAGTTAAGCTCTCACTGTCATGTTGATGATTTGTCATGGTTGATTGTTACTGACTCAGTCTGCCTGTTTGTTCACACTGTGAGCAACATGATCATCAACAGGATCAAGATCTGTTTGATGTTAAGACTGTGTCACCCAACAGGTTCCAACAGGTTCCTGTCTGGGGTTGAGTTTGTTCTATTTTGTTGTGTAAAGGTTAAAACTTTTAAAACTGTATCACTGGATTAAGAACTTTTTGCTTCTGTGACATTTGTTTGGAACATGCTGCCTGGCTGAAGCCTGAATCCACAACAGAGAGCAGGAGTGAACCAGTGGAGCGTCTGGTTTCTGTACAGGAAGTAAGAAGAAAACCATGCTCAAAATCACGGCGACATTTGTGATGCATGTTTCTAGAACTCCAGTCTCAGCCTTGCTTGGTGGAGTATCTCTTGCAGATGATTCAATTTGGGAATTATTTGGGGACGATGAATTAAAAAAGTAATTTCTATCACGTCACGGTAAATGTCACCATACTGAAAACAGTCAAATGGAACATATGAGAGTGGACGGGATGCTGCTTTGTTTCTAGTCCACATTCAGACTGGGGTCCATGAAGTTCAACCCTCACTGTGATTTGGAAACACAGCACTGTACACCACTGGGCTTTAATGCTAAGTGACTGTTAACTGGTTGATAACTGCCTGCTAACTGGCTGCTAACTGACTGCCAATTGGTTGCTAACTAACTGTTAACTAGTTGCTCCCTGACTGCTATATGGTTGCTAATTGGTTGCTAAGTGGCTGCTAACTGGTTGCTAAGTGACTGCTAACTGGCTGCTAACTGACTGCCAATTGGTTGCTAACTAACTGTTAACTAGTTGCTCCCTGACTGCTATATGGTTGCTAATTGGTTGCTAAGTGACTGCTAACTGGTTGATAACTGACTGCTTACTATGCTGACATGTTAAATCAGTAACATAATAAGAGTCACCATGATGATGATGAAAATAAAGGTCTCTCTAACCACAGCCCTCTCTCTCTCACATTCAGTCAGAGGATTAGCACTAGCCACATTGCTCTCAGTGTGAACACACAATGACAGTCCTGGTTTATTTTATAACACTAAGAACATGAGTTATGTTTTGACCTTCAAATATTAAATAACAAACACTGAACATGATTTCTTTTGAACGTTGCTACGTATCATTAGCACAACATTAGCTGAAGAGGTACAGGAGCACTGGAACACATGAAGGGAGTGATCACTAACACAGATACAGTGTTAGCTTCAGTATCAGCTCCAGGTCTGGTGCTGTAGTCTTTGGTTTGGATCCTCTGGTACATGGTCTACATGTGTATCTGTGGACTGACTGACTTTGGGTTTATACAGTTTGAGATACATCAGGAGAGACATGGGTGTTCAACAGGTTTTGATTTGTTTCCTCAACTTTTATGTGAGAAGTTGATGATGATGATGATGATGATGATGATGATGATGATGATGATGATGATAGGTAGAGGAGTACTGAAGCTGCCGCCATAAGAAAAGAAAAAATCTGATAAATTTCTCATTATAATGGTTTCATGTTATAACAAGATATTTTTCTGTTATAATGACCCATACCAAAGTATTAAAATATTATAAACTATGATACGTTTCTGTCACGAAACCTCTGATGTTCTGACAAAACTCATCATAACATGAGCTGGACTCATTATTACACAGAAACCTGGAGGAATTTAACTTTTTTATGTCTCATCTCAAATAACTAATTAACAAAACATCAACTGATCAGATTATAATGAGAAAAGTTTCTTCTTTAATGAGATGAACTGCTGTGTCATTATAACGAGGGGCATTCACTGTTTTAACACGGTTTGTTGACTCTTTAATAATGAGTCCAATGAGTCTCATTAAAGTGAAGTGTAGAGAAGTCATTTGTTATGAAATAATTAAAACATGAAAAATATCTTGTCATAAAATGAAATGTATTTTTCCTAAAATGAGAAAATGTTCTTGTTTCTTGTTGAAGTGACAGGCAGGCAGGAGGGGTTGATGGGATTTGGAGTCTTCAGGTGATTTTTAAATTAAGGTTCAGATGAACAGAAGTTAAAGCTGACGACCACGTTTAAACTGGACAGGAAGTCATGGCATTGAAAGACGACAGAAAATGACTTAGGCTTACGGATGATAAATCTTCTACAGTCATATGTTGCAGTATTTGGAAAGTCTTAAAATGAGCATGGGATATGTAGTCCAATTGTAATCTTGTTCCTTTGTGGTTGGTAGTCTGGTATGCAGCGTGCATAGACGGTTGGATTTGATGTTTGCAGATGTGTGTGCTACTTTAGGTAGTGGTTTCCAACCTAATGAAGACAATATCAAAGGAGGAAACATAAAAAAGGTCTGGAATAGAAGTAGTTAGATTAGTATTTGAAATGATTTGCTGCAGAAGGAACACAGGGTTCGAGCTGTGATGATGTACAGTCATGCATGATGATCGAGGGTTAGGGGATTGTGGGATCTCAAGTAGTACAGCTAACATGTCCTACGTAAGCCATGGTCCTTTACAGGAGTGAGAGCAAGTGTTACTGTATCTTGTGCCGTCGGAGGAGGGTTCTTATGTGGGGGGAGGTCCTTCGTAGCGGAGCATGATGTTGAAGGATCGGGCGAAGTTGTTGGAGAGGGAGCAGCTGTTGCCTTCGTCCATGAGCGGCAGCAGGAACGCCAGCAGCAGCAGAGCGAGGAAGAGGAGCCACAGAGGAAGAGCCAGCCGACACACCCGCTGCATCAGCCCGGGCCTCTGCAACGACAACGACACCCACAATACATGACACACAGTCTCTGAAATACCGGCGGGACCTTTACTCACAGAGCGTCAGTGACAGCGAGAGCCATCAGGAACAGGGGTGCAGCGTCTTACTTTATAAAGTAAGTGTGACAACTCCCATTAGCTAGAGTCCTCTTTTTGTTATATTTAGTTTGTATTTAGCAGCAGCTGTTTGCCCTTTTCGCCTCTTTTAGTTACCCCTTACACTTTGGTTGTATCTTAACTTATCTCCTTACTATTGAATAAATTTACTTTACCAATTGAAACTGGTTTATGTTGCTTCCCTGTGTTGTAACATTTTCCTCACACAATCAGTTCAATTAGTCAAGTGCTACACTCATCTCACAGGAACCTCCTGACCACGGCAAACAGTCTGAAGACTTTCCTAAGCCACTGTATATTAAACAAACATTTGTCTCTAATCTGCTGTTTTATAAATATATTTGATCATGTTTTAGTCAGAAGCCTCTGTTTTCTGATCTTCACCTGTTTTAATTTGCTGTTGACACAAACTAAAAACTTCCTCCATATTTACCTTGTCGTCTTTATACATTCGGTACATTTGAATAACATTAGCTCCATCACTACAACAGTCAGATCCGATGACTATTTCTTCCTCACAGTGTAGAAAAACAATGATGTGAGGATTTTGTGATTATTGGTTTGCAGAAACACAGGAAACATGTTTCATTTTCTTGTCCCTGTGAGAAAGCCTGGCAAAATAAAGGAAATGTGAGCGATAAGAAGATGAACCGCCCACACAGTCAGAAACATCATGTACCACAGAGAAGTGACCGGGTCTCTCAGACTTGTTATTCTGTGAATCATGTTTCCCGCCTACGTTAATCTTTCACCTCCTGAACGCTGTCGCTCAGACTCACTGCAAATAATTTAATGTAAGACAAAACATCAGAGCATCAAACACTGTTCCCAACCCCGGCATATCATCATTGGCTCCCTGTCCATTTTTGGAATTGATCTTAAGATTTTACTGATCACGCTGGAGCCCTGACCCCAAATGTAATAACCCCATACGAGCCAGTACGCAGCCTTCGATCTTCGGGCAGGACCCTTCTGGCCGTCCCAAAGTCAAGGCTTAAATCTAAGGGTGACCGCGCAACATGGCGAGAAAAGACAATCAGACCGGTTGTAAACAAAAACCAACAGCTGATCCAGATCATGTAAAAGACTTGCAGAGGTCAAACTGAGAGACTGCACCTGAAATATAACTAATAATCCCTCACTGTGATGGATGCTTACAACTCTACTTGTAAAAATGCCAAAAAAAGTCACCCAACATCATCTATGCAGAGAATACACAGGACGCTATGGATGCCCACAAGTCACTCCTTCCACATTGCTAATGCACTTATGAGTAGCCTACATTATGAGTTCCACCAGATTTACCATAAGACCCTACAATACGAGTAGAGGGTTGGTTTACCAAAAATTCTGGCCAATCTTTTGCCATTGTGGGCCACACATGACAGCGACAAAGCAGCTACATGAGATCCTACTATGGTAAAAGGGCTATATGACCAATCATGTTTGTATAGTTTAGAATTTTTATCTTCTTTAGTGTGATTATCATTGCAGCTGTTTTTCTCTCTTCTCTTCTTGACATTTTAGATTCCCTTGAAGGGCAGAGGCAGAGGGGCATGACATGCAACAAAATCCCTCCGACCGAGTATCGAACCACAGACCTTTTCTTTGTAGGCTGATTTTTCACTCCAAGTTCAGCATGTGTTCACCCGTATGTTTGTTATGTCAAACACATTTCAATGAAAGCATCAATCATTTACTGGAGCTCCCGATCCTCATTAATACTAAACCCTTTTTATTTGTAGCCATTTTAACAACGACCATGACTCAGAGTGGGGAGGAACCACTGTGGTCGAAACACAGGGTCTGTGTGCTCTGTTGTAGACACAGAGAGAGAGAGAGAGAGAGAGAGACAGAGAGAGACAGAGAGAGACAGAGAGAGACAGAGACAGAGAGTGTTGGACTGTGTATACAAATGTTAATGTTTGATGGAATAGGAAGTGAAACTAGCTAATCACACCTCCACATGACAAGGACCCACAGGCCAAAGGTATGTAAGTGTTTATTGAATCAGTACACACTAGCTCAGGTCAGTGTGAATGAGTGAGCACATGTAACAGAGAGACAGATACACTCAGTGAGCACTTTATGAGGGACACCACACTAACACTGGGTAGTTCTTCTCTTTGCTTTACATGTGTCCTCATTCTGATGTCTGATGTGAACATTAAGTGAAGCCGCTCACCTGGATGTGCAGGAGTTTATACACCGAGCTGCTGCCACCTGTTTGACTTATTGGATAATTGCATGAATCAGCAGGTGTACACGTGTTCCTGATAAAGTGATTGGTGAGGGTATAACTATACTGGTTACATTTCCACATTTTTTGACTGCTGTTAAGCTACCATTATACAAATTCAACACTTTCTACAGACCTTTCACAGTAAAAGCCTAGAGGGAAAATGAGAAATTATGCCCTTTGACCTGCTTGAAGACTTAATGTGGAATATCTGTTCAGTACTATTGACATTCTGCACAGCCTTTGGATTTGCTAACTACTTAATTTCTCATCTGTAAATTCTTTTGAGACTGGTGACACCCTTACAGTTGCATCACAAAGCGCCACTCCTGTCCCCTAGCAACCTTGATAACACGTTGCTTGTTTCATTTTTTTGTTCGTGGTTTGAACAGTTGTACCGTTAGCTGTTGAACTGAGGTGAAACCCAATACTAACATCTTAAAATGTAATCCTCAGGCTCTCTGTCTGTGTTGTTTGCTGCAATATTATTTACATTACTGGCATGCAATGAATCTTGGGCCACGAAGGATCTACCTGTTGGAGCCTTCCTTGTCCAGGTAAAGAAGGACCAATTTTCAAGGAGCCTTTGAAATGAGAGAGTCTAGTCGAGCTGCTGTGACGCCATCGGTCTTCAAATGAGCATGTTAGCATCGTCATTGACTTAGCGTTTAGCTCAGATCACTGTTGTGCCTAAATACAGCCTCACTGGAGCTGCTAGCTACCTATTACTGTATTATCTATGTTATGATTGTGTATTAATAAGTCATTATTGCAGAGTATTCTGATGTAGGAGGGGACAAAAGTCAGATTACTGACAAATGTGCGGTTGGAGACGACAAGTAAGCACTGAATGAAAATGGTAAACAGGCTTTCTGATGAACTGGCTCACTCAAAGACGAAGAGCTCAACTGGAGCAAAGCAGACAGGATGTTCTGCACTCTGCTTTAAATAAGACACAAAGACGTCTGTCGTTCCATAGTGAATCAACATCGTCTTCATTTACAAGACTCAACGGTTTATAAAGAGTTTTTCTCTTTAGTTATTCTGGTGAAGTCATGAGTAGCTTTAAATGCTCGCCAGCACTAGAAAAGAAAAAGAATGACATAGCTCAGAAAAGCATCCAGTGAAACAATGAACCCTCCCTCCTCCTGGAGATTAAAGCAAGCCGGAGCAGAACAGCCTGTAAAGACCGTCTGTAAAGACTGGAGGCCTGTTTCAGCTGGGGTGTCTGAGGGGTCAATAGGGTGGCTGGGGGTGGGGGGTGTCTGCTCGCCACACACAGCTCGCTGAATGAATGGTGGATTTGGGGGGCTGGTTCGATATGCTTGACTTGATGCTTGTTCTGGGTGCTCAGGTCAGGGGTTTGGTTCTCCACAGACCAAAGACCTCTGGGGGGGATTTTACCGGAGAGCATTTGGTTCAGAGCTTTAAGACCCAAACACAGTCTGATCTGCAGAACTTCAACCTCTAATGCTCCTCTAACAGGAGAGCAAAAAGGTTAGAGGTTACAGATTAAATAAGTTTGTCAGCTGAGGACACCTACCTGAACTGAGAAGAAAAATTCTAAGCAGCATCAAGTCATCCTTTCAGTGGGTTCAGATCAGACTACAGACCCTGTTTTACACAGTCTGTTCAAGGCGGGAATGATGCGTCTTTAAATACCACACACATGGGGCATCATTATACCATTTTTGTTTGGTTTAGTGTAAACAAGCAAAGGTGGTAATGTAGTGGAATCTGTATGACAGGGACTTGAGTCAGATGGCTGGGGTCCTGTTGTACTGGTGTGAGTGTGAGGTCTGTGCATGTGTTAATGTTCATGTTCTCAAGCGGTTTTAACCCCCAAACAAAGAGGAACAATCATGATGAATCGAAATGTTACAGTTTAACCCCAGAGTCTCGCACCACATACTGTATATTCAAAGGCAAGACAGTAACAGTAACCAGGAGCGTGGTGAATAGCAACTGCAAAATACCAAATCATAGATCTAAATGACAATCAGCTTCCTCCATAAAAAGCTCAACTCTGGATCACATGACCAACTGAAATCAAATTAACTCCAGATATAAATTCATTACAACAAAGGTTCAGTGCTAAACTCAAACCAGGGCCTGAATTTAAGTTGAATTGCATTGTAGCTATCAAATACATAAATAAACTAAACTGTTGAAAAGTTTATTTATCTCAATTTTTAAAAGTTTATTGTTACCTTTTGTACCTTTGCTGCGTCAGGCGGCTCCTCTGGTTTGACTTGGACTCTCTGCAGAGACAAAACATTTCAGTCAGTTCACGACATTGACTTACACACACACACAGACAGACACAGACACACACACACACACACACACACTAACCATGTTCACTGGGTAATCACTAAATTCATTTCACACTGGAACTCTAATGACTCATACAGAACCACTATTGAACTGACAGGTGACTTTTCAGTGTCTGACATGTTGCACGGCCTCGTGTCTCGCTCTTAAAAATCAAATGAGTTTGAATTTTGTTTTTTCTCAATTGGTTCCTCCACATCTGAAGAACACTGTGCAATTAGAGCAGAGTCCACTGATCTGCAGCTGCTCTACAGATGTGACAGTCACAGTGCAGGCAGTGTGCTAAATAATACTACACTGCCACCCTGTGGTGGACAATAAAACAACAGTGCAGTTAGTGGGGGATTCTGATATTCTGGTAACAAGCCAGTGATGTGTGATGAGACAGCGACTCGGGACTTCAGTTTCCAAACTTAAGCACATTTACACATGTGCACCCTGCCGGGTTTCACAACATGATATTATTCAAAACCCTATAGGACTGTAATACGCATTGACCCAAAAGATTTAAGAAGACTTCTACATTCTACAGTTTAGAGTCTACAGTGATTGATGATAAACTCTCCTCTCACCTTAGCCCTGGTCCTGGCCCTGACCTCTCCCACATCCTTTAGTTTGGACTTGTAGAGCATCCAGCGGTAGCGGAGCTCCTCCAGGTCCGAATCCTCTGCTGACCCAGAACCAGCTCCACTGCACGGACTCTCCTGGAGCAACAGCTGGAACTGCTCCTGACCCCAGGCCACTTCTGCCCTCAGAGCCTGCACACAGACACAACAGAGGGTCTCAGGTGAAGTAAAGTAAGGTCCTGCTGGTGGTTCACAGTTTTTGTTTGTTCACAAGAGACATTGGATGAAACAGAAATGAGCCTTTTAACCACCAGAGGTCAGTGCCACAGCAGTTTTCAGTTTGATGTATAATGAGGCTTAGGTGAACAATTGAATTACTGACTGATCACATCAGGATAAAGGAAAAAAACATGCAACTGTATATTCTTTTTTATTTAATTTATAACACAATGTTCCAAGTGAGTGTACATACAGTCGAACTGTGGTTGTGGTAATTATTCAAATACTCAAACTCAAGTTTGGTCTATCTACAGTTATCACTTCAAAACATTTTGTAGGAGCTGCTCCTACAGTTTTTTTTTTTACTGGTGGGACTTACAGTTTAACATTTTGCCAAATTATCAGTAATATATATAGTTTTGCCAACGGTTAATGAAACCAGGAAACCAATTCTTCTTCTATAACAGTAGCTTACACAGGAAGTTGCTCTGTGCAGTCGCTGGCAGCTACGAAGAAGAATTGGTTTTCAGGTAAACTTGGAATTACTTGGTACCAGGTCGGTGCATAGAAAAACATCTGGAACTGTAGCGTGTTAACATCTTAAATTGACATCTTCATGGCAACACTGTCAGCTGCTGTTGTTTTAATACCTACAGTACACATGTGATGTACACCTTCTACAGTCTGGATCCAGTCCTTACCCTCATTCACTACTTCAAGTAGAACTCAGGGAAAACTCATTTCCTGTCATCTCTACATGTGTTTATCATTACATCATTGAATCAGACTGGAGTGTCCTCACCTCATATAAAGAGCAGAGGATGGTGTTAGGGCACTGGAAATCTTTAAAGCAGCAAAATATATTTATTACTAGAATATCAAAAAACAGAGGAGAAATGAACTCTGGGAAATTCAACAAAAAATAAGTTAAGCCATAAGCACCAAAAGACTGCAGGCTCGCAGTGAGCTGCTCTCAATCCTCCCTACTGACCACTGAATGGCATTTCACGCCCTCTTCCTCACCTCACTGGAACACACCTGCTCAGGTAAGTATGGAGGTGAGCTACACACACAAACATGAGCATACATATAAATAAAGTATCTATCTATCTATCTATCTATCTATCTATCTATCTATCTATCTATCTATCTATCTATCTCTCTATCTATAGGACACCACACAATTGTGAACACTCAATTATTTTGTTACTGCTGACAATAACAATCTACTGTATGTGCGTTAATTATTCAAGTGCATTTCCTACACAGCAGTTGAACCTTTATCTCCCTGCATCCTAACAAAGCCCAGTCACTCTCTACTGAGAATGATGCAGACCTGTCTCCTCTCTCCCTGACTGAACAGCTGATCAGACAGGAAAAATGAAAACGCAGAAAGTGAGCTGAGCCCTCTAACAGATAACAAACATATAAGATGAACCGCAATGAAATGAATGGAAACATTTGACTGATGATGGAACTCACAGAGCAGTGACAATGTGGGGGAGCAGGGCTGAATGGAGCAGATGTCAGAACCATATTGGAAACAGTGTTTAAAGGTAAGAACCAAGACTAACAAAGCCTCACGGTACTGAGTGACAACAAAGACAAACAACATGCAGACGTCATTAGGCAACTAAAGGCCGACATCAGGGAAGTCAAGGAACCACAATGTTATTTTTCTGTTTTTGTAAATGTATATAAAATCAATATACTTTACATCACTACCTCAATATTCTAGTCAAACTGTTTTTTTTGGGGTGTTATTAAAGGTCTCATATAGTATAAAGGTAGATGTCCATGTGTTGTTTGATTATAGATCAGGTCTAGCTTCTATATTAATACTGTGAAAGTATCAAAGCCTCAGTCCACAGAGAAATGCACACAGCCTGTATTCAGAAACTGAGCCTTAAACCAGCTGTCAGGACTTCTGGAACTTTGTGATGTCACAACAAAGCAGTCACCGCTCTCAGCCACGCCCCAAGGCCCCGCCCACCTGGACCCACCATCTAACCTTGCAGGATTTGGTTTCTCTGAGTGTTTACCTGAAATCTGCAATATTTTTTTTGGATCACTCAGAAAACAGTCAGCCAATCAGAAGAGAGGCTCACCAACCTGTTATTGCCAGAGCTCCAGAGAGAAGCCTGAGAGAGATGTAAAACTACACTGAAATGGTTTTATACAACTTTTTATATATCTTCTTATGGCTCAACACTTCACGAGAAGTGTAACATATGGGACCTTTAATGTATTATTTCCAGCACAGAGAACATCATGCCTGCTCGTGCTCCAGTCAGTTACCTTACTGCTGTGTCATGACACATTAAAGACTTGTTAAATCTGCTCCTTTAACTACTGAACCATGCAGTGATAACAAACTCTCTCTAGGTGGCAGCCTAGACCTGGTTAGTCACAACGATGCTGCTGCTGGAATGAGAGAAGACCCTGAAATAATCCTGTGAACACACTAAGGCTCATATTCATCATCATTCAATCAATCAGGAAGCAGTGTGAGTCGTCCACTAATCAGAAAGTCTGTGGTTCAACCCACAGCTTCTCCAGTCCACATGTTGAAGTGTCCTTGAGCGAGCTACTGAACCTTAAATTTCCCTGATGTATGAGTGTGTTGTGATAGAGTTGCACTGTCTATATAACGAGTGCTGTATGACTGTGTGTGTGAATCGGTGAATGTGATTCGTAGTGGAAAGTGCTTTGAGTGGTTGTTAAGACTAGACTTGTTAATGCTAAAGTGAAAACCCACATTTTCTCAGGATCTTCAGCGTCCCCTTGCTTTTATATTTCACTTTTATAAGTATAATCGAAATTTAAGCGCAATATCTAAATCGCTGAACTTTTTTTTGATAAAGGCTCGAGGCGCTCGAGACCACGTCCTCTAAAGGATGCGACCCCTGAACTGGGACACAGCTGTTGTCTCCTTGCTTTTGTTTCCTTTTGGTTGTTATTTCTTTGTATTTTATTGTGCAGCACTTTGGTCAACTCTGGTTGTTTTAAATGTGCTTTATGAATAAACTTGATTTGATTTGATTTGATGATCTAATAAGTGTATCTTATTTTTACTTATTTTTCATCTAATGTGGTTTTAATGTTTGAGAAATGACAGTTCATATTGTTAAAATGCATTTCCACAGACTGGGTGACATTACAGGACTTGCAGGGTAAATGAGCGGAGAGGGGACCTGGACAGAGGAGGAAATGTTCCTCTTTATCACTGTGAGCTATGGTGCAACATGTGGCACCATCACAGGCTGTTCCTATAGACAACTGGATAGAGCTGATAGGATAACAGACAGCTGAGTCCAATTAAATCCGTTTTAATTCACCTACTGGAGAGATTTGTGCCTTACGCCATGAGAGTGGCTTCCCAATATTTACTTATAGTCTACTGTGTAAATGGCATAGTTGTAAATATTGAGTTTTAATTAATTTGTGCACACATGATGTGGCGGACATTATCCCAAAGTTAGCTGCCTACAGTATTTCAGATTTCACCACATCATCATAATGTCTCCTCTGCTGCAGTGAGCGTTGTAAAGCAGCAGCTCGCTCTCTCTCCTCGGAGCCGTCCTCCTCCTTGTTGAAATGAAGTGTGGGCTGCTTCATAAATAACTCAGCTGTGCTCTGATGTAGGAGTGTTTTCAGCCCTGGGTTCACTTTCAGACCAGTCCCTCTGAGGGATGCTGAGACGCCTGATAAATACAGGCCCTGTATGTATTCTGATTATTCAGAGGAATTGGAGTCTGGAGATTTGCTGTAAGTTAAAAAAAAAAAAAAAGTCAGAGAAGTATTAACTTGTCTGCCTGGATCAGCTCATGAGTGTGAACAAAATGCACAGTGGCTCAGGTCCTCCAGGTCCTGCTCCTGTGTCACAAGATTTAAATAATCAATGGTGACACCCACTGCTGTGCAGGCCGGGCTCCGACATCTGACTTTACAGATGCAAAACATTTATTGGTGCTGGTGCATGATGGGTAACTGACTACAAACAGTTAATGAGAAAATGAATGAGTATAAAAGTTGGTGGATCCCTACATGACCCTGACACCTTTACATTTATGTATCCTACCTCTGCTAGCAGGTTTCTTTCTCCCTCATGGATGGTGGTTAAAGGTTCTACCTGTAAGTTTTCTCTGCTGTTGAACGTGGTTTCTTGACGGGAGCAGGTGGTGATTGACAACAGCTTCAGCTATCGCTGTCTTTATAATACAAGAGGTTATAATACGTCCTCTGAGCAGCTACGTCTTCAGGACAGACTGGACGCTACAGAGACGAGGCGGGCCGGGGCTAGCTGGTTAGCATGCTAACTTCAGTAGACGAAAAGACGTGATAGAGACATGAGTTAACATTGGTGATGGTTTCCACCTCTGGAGACAGCTGTTGGTAGTAAAAGAATGAAGTTTGATGCTGAGCTCACAACGTTTCTTCTAGACTGGTAAGTACAGCTCTAAATGCTAACGTTAGCTTTGTAGCAATAGCTAACTTACAAATAGCTCTTTTAAATTAATTGTTTCCAGTCATATCAATGCATTGATATAACTGGACACCATGGCTGTTTTACATGTGAGAAAATACACACACACAAATCTAACAAACTCTGGTTGGCTTCAGCAATAACAGTGTGGGCTCTATTTTAATGATCCAAAGCTGAAGCATGTGTTGCAAGTGCGGTCAGGGCGTGTCCATGTCCACCAGGCGCACGCTTCAAAACGGTTGTACTTAGTCCCACAGTGACATCTCCCATTCCCTATAAAAGCCAGGCACTCTTGCACCTTGGTGGATTGCTATTATAACAGCAGAATCAGAGTATACCTATGGAGAGTTGATCATATATTGTGACAAGAGCAGTGAGTCCAGTCCTGACACACACAGCAGCATCTTTCTTCGGTTCATTAACAAACTGTGGACAAATGTAGGTGAATATTACTCTCTTGATAATTCACCGTTAAAATTACAGTGAAATACTGCGACACTGACTTAAGACCAGGTTTTGGTTGGTCAATCACTTTCTGCCGCCTCAAGATAGCAATGCACATTTGTCGTGAATGAGCTAAAATATACAAAGACTTCAGTCGGGTCCTCAAAGTGGTAGTTGAGGTTTATTTGATGTGGGGATGTATGGTGCTCCTGCCTGCGTCTCTAAACCTGGTACGCTAGGACTTGAAGCTACTGCAGGTAATACACTGACTGTGTGTGACTCCCTCAAACAACCCAACGTCAAATAACCTGAACTATCACTTTCAGTTTCAACAGACCTCATCAAGTCTTCAGTAACCTGTGATCCATCTGCTGGTTTATGAAGGTAACAACTACACCTAACAAAGAGCTGGTGAACGCAGCTTCCTCCAAGACTGGGAGGCAGTGTGACAGAACAACCACAGACTGAGCTGCATGGAAAAGCCCTGCTTGTTTAAATGTTGACGGAAACTCACTGTGAGTGTGTCCTGTCGGATCTGGACCTCTTTGGCACTGAGCGCCGCCCCCTTCGTGCCGAGGATCCCTGAGAGGAGCTCGTTCTCCTTGCACAGCCAGGCCTCGAACTCCCTCCTCCTGGATCTGTAGAGTCCCGTGCCCCCCTGCAACAAAAAAAAACAAAAAAACCAAACATACCAACATTGTCAACAAGGCAGCGGTCGGTTCTTATTCTCTCTGAGTCTGGCTGATGTGTGGACTATTAACAAATCCATCAGAGGGAAATGTCGACCACAGCAATCATCCTGTGCCTCTTTGTTTTCCTACCAACGTCGTTTCATTTTAACAACCACTGTTCTGCAGGACAAGCAGAGTGAGACTGTCTGTGGAGTTAATGACAGCCGCACTGGGGAGGACGTGAGCTGAGGATCCCTGCTGCTCCTCACACTCTACTCTCATTGACTAATAAATATGTTGCACTTTAACTATCAGGCACAGCAAAGTCCACGCATGGAAACTGCATTATTATTCACCTACAGTCCCAGAATCCCAGAATGGTGCGCTGAATCACTAAACTGGGCAGATACATATTTGGAGTAACTCCACAAGATATACATCTTAGTCACCAGGAAGAAATATGACAGCTTCTGAATCTCTCTTAGCTCGACCACTTACACTGTTTAAATGGAAGGATAGACTTCCTCTGGCTTTTGGACTATAGATTCAAGATCTTATACGTCATTTGACATTGAAGAAAATCCACTGCACTACGAGAGGGTGAGCTGAGAAACTCCATGTTATATGGCAACCTTTTTTAACTTTTGTAGGAAAAATGGACGCTACTGATACTGCAGTTTATTGTTACTTATTTGTGTATTTGTAATTCTTTAATTCTTTCTTAATTGTGATTAATCTCTTTTTTTTTCTATTTACTGGATTGTTTAATTTAATTCTGTCTTTTTGCTTTGTGTTTTAGTTCTTTTCTGTCCGTTTTCTTTTGTCACAACTCAATTTTTTATCATATTGAATTGGTCTGCATGTAAATGTAATTGGTTAGGAAATTGACTCTGATTCCAAACATGGTACAGTGACACTATCATAGGGATGGGGCTCTGTTGGAGCAGAACAAAGGGGGAGGAGAAACATTGTCTTTGTTCAACTGTATCAGTGATATTTTTACTTCCTGTATGACTTTAAAGACCAATAAAGACCTTGAATAAAAGAATACTGGGCAAATACAGTATGGATAACCCTGTCGGTTGATGATGTGTACATGCACGAATAATCTCTTATCTGGCTGCTGGATGATCACATGGCTTACTGGCAGCTCAGACATGTTGGTTGGCAGTTTGAGCCGTTTCATGGCCAAACTGTCACATGGCTGCTGTCACAACATCTGTTATAAACTGTAGTGAAACTGTTTCATTGCTGGACTACTGTTTGTTGTGGCCTCTGGATTCTAGACTGTGATAAAAAAAAAAAAATAAAAAAAAACGAAAGACAGAGAATATCGTCTCTTCCTCTCCGTCTGCAGCTCCACATTTTTCTTTCTTCTTCTTGTGTCTATTCATAGTAGATATTTAGAGTGGGCACTGATCTGTTGCTCAGTCTTGGCCCGTGCAGAAAGGTGATTAAAATGTGTAGTGGGAATAAGTAAAAAAACTATGGTGTCCCTGAGAGCTCAACACACTGCGGTTTAAGAAAACACATGCAAACAGACAAAACACAGACAAATTCAGAAAACATCCTCATCAACTTGAGAACACATGAGCTGCAGATACTCACAACACAGCGGACGTGTTTCTAGGGGACACTAAAATGTGATGGACCCGACGGGGACGCACTTGTTGTTCAATGTTTTGTGACTTTTGAAGTTGAAAGCATTGAACAACAGTTATGTCCCAGCCGGGTTCATCACTTTTTTTTTTTCTTTTTTAAAGTTTTTTTTTGGGTTAAATCCAATAGTGAGAGAGAGAGAGAGAGAGAGAGAGAGAGAGGATGACATGCAGCAAAGGGGGCCCCCTAATCACTTTCTAGTGTCCCCTGGGAACACTTCTGCTGTGTAGTGAGTCTTTGCGGATCATGTGTTGTCAAACGGATGAAGGTGTTTTCTGAATTAGCTTTTGTTTCGTCTCTTTGATTGTGTTTTCTTAAGCTGCAGCGCGTCAAGCTCTCAGGGCCACTGTAATAAAAAAAAACAAAAAAAAAAACAGCTTGAAGCAAAGATGAATCAAATTGTACAGTGTCTGTCCAGCTGCAGTGGTGGATACTCAAACTGAAACCAGCAGACACACAGTGCAGCAACCTCCTGCCCTCTGGTGGATGGGTACAAGAGTATCAAAAGCCGGACAAACACACTTGAGAACAGTTTCTTCCCCTGGGCCAATAGAACTCTAAACTTCATAAATGTGCACTCATAACCCTGTTAAGAATAGCTACACAGCAAAGCACTTTTCTATTTCCTTCAAGTATTTACTATATTTCCAAGTGCAACACTCTTTTATGTGCAATATTCTCTTGTGTCCTTTTGTCTGTCTTAACGTGTTTTTACAGTTTTTACTGTTTGCACGGATCAGGAGTACCTCTTCGAATTCCGTTGTATATTTTGTACAATGACAATAAAGCCTCTGTATTTCTATTTCTGAGCCTTTTAATGTAAAATGTCATATTCCCTTCCCACTCACCGCTGTAGTCAGTGTTAATGCGTTTGGTTGTGGGAGAGAAAATTCATCCTGTTGAATCGACAGTAAAAAGAATAAATTGCTATGTTGATCTGTTGAATCCAAGTCAAAGACTCTTAAAGTCAGATAGTCACAGAAAACAACTTATTAAATGTATTAAACATGTTTCAGCAGCTTGACTCAGCTCACTCGTGTCACCATAAAGTTTGGTTAAATTACCCAGGAGCCTTCTTTGTTGCTGATGAGTTTATCATTGACAGTAAAGTTATCTCAGCGACATGAACACGTTACCGTTGTGTGTGGAGTCGATGTTACTGATGTCTGATTTGCTGGATCTCGTCTGAACAGCATGAACGCTCCTCCTCCTGGGCTCCGACCGTCCCCGGCCTCCACACTGCCTTCTCCAGGACTGGTTCTCGCCTCCTCGATGCAGCTGACCATGGTGGTTAATGCTGCCCCCCCTCTGTCCCCCCCTGCTGATTTATGGCTGTCAGGGCTTCTTCCCTGGCTTGCTCTGCTGCGAACAGAGGAATCTACCTCATCTCCTCTGAAGGAGTGCCCACTGTCCTTGTCCATTATCGACAGACTCAGATGTTCATCGACTTGTCCAGACAGAAGGAGGTGACCTTCAGCACGGCCCTGGATCCACCCTCCCTGCCCCGTCAGCACCCCTTCTCCTGCCTCTCCCTCCAGGCCTCCTCCTCCTCCTCCTCCTCCTCCTCGTCCAGGCCCAGAACCAGAAGCAGCTCCATACACCTCTGCTGGCTGGTCGCGTCGTTGGCCTCTCTGGCTCCTGGAGCCTCCGGCCTGACCGTCCTCCTCCCCCACACTGAGCTCTGCTGTTAGGGATGTGCCTCCAACTCTCCATGAGTCAGACCCTGTCTGCTCCTCAGAGCTGTTCAGCAGCCTGAGAGAGAGAGAGACAGAGAGAGGTCAAGTGTTTTTATATTTCACCAGGTCATCACCTGAATCCATCACAACCACATGAAAAGACAGCTGAACAACAGAGGAGCCTCCATCAGCTTGTTTATCTCACATAAAACTCAGCAGCAGTAGACTCGAGGTCAGAAGCGCTCCCGTTGTTTTTTGTTTGTTTGTGTGCATACATTAATAATCTGTACCACCGCCACTTATCTCAACACTCCAGTGACTGAGCTCAGATCTTCCTTCTTGACCTTAGAAAGCAGCAGTTTTGACAAGAAAAATTCATGCGAGATTCTCAGTTTGAAAAGTGTCTGAAAGCTTTGTAAACACCAAATAACTGAAACTCGTCATGAATGTTTAAATTCCAGTGACTGGTGGTGGGCCAAACACAACTCCGTTTGTTGAACAATGTTTAGGTGTTAATTAGATCAATACAAAATGTGTTTATATGTGTTTATGTAATGTAAAAAACAAAAGCTTCCTAAACATGTTTTATTTTGCTCATTCTAACGTCTTGATCTTCCCGTTCCACCCTTTTTATTCTTCTTTCTATCTATCTATCTATCTATCTATCTATCTATCTATCTATCTATCTATCTATCTATCTATCTATCTATCTATCTATCTATCTATCTATCTATGTCTTGTCCCGATGGCTTCATCAGTCTGGATATAAAAACAATCAAAATGCATCTCAGCTGAGTTTTTGGCTGGATTGCAACAGCATGGAGAATGTCTGTGACTGACTGACTGACTGACTGACTGACTGATTAAGTTACACCACTGGCTGGCTGGCCAAGTGTGGGAGTTTCCCCATTGGCTGTTGCTCTTTTAAAATGAATTGGCACAAACAGTTTCCATCAGGGGGTGTTAACAGCCTGTAGTGTTGACAAACTAGCGCAACTGTCACGAGATTTAGAGACTTTTTTCCAACAACAATAATCTCCTTGTGGTTGTTTCCTCCATCAACCAGCCAAGTTACAGGAAGTCTGCTCACAGTCTCTCCTTCCTCAGTTACAGTGTTGAATAATGGCCAGAAATGTTTTTGCAGAACATTATGATACTTAGGTTTAGATATTAGGATATTAAATATCACCACTTAATTTTATCTTTATAGACATTTGTGTTAAATTCTTTCATAAATAGTGAATGAATTTGTGGGTTATGGCTGAAAACGTGTTTTGTGAGGTCACAGAAGTGATGACATTCCCTCTGGGCGTTCCTGATATATTACATTCATAAGAACATGTCATCAAACAGAGAGAGACACAAATGAGCAGAGACACACACACACACACACAGACACACACAGGCAGGAGAGAATCATCACACAAGGTGATGGTCCTCTTAACTTCATTGTTACAGAAGAAGCAATGTCCTGCTGATCCAGCAACACATAAAAATCTCCATTATGAATTCATGAGGTTCTTATAAAGATGAGCTGTGTGTGTGATTACAGAAGAGCAGAGGAGCAGAGGAGCAGAATCATGCTGCTGACGTGAACAGCCAGGCTACTGCTCACATGACACAGAGTCAGGACTGGTCAACAACAGGAACAGAAAAACACGTGAATGAGAACAGCTTCATTGTCAGCCAGCTGTATTAAAATACTGTATATGTGAGGAGACACAGAGAGGAGGAGAGAAGCAAACGGATAAAGCTGAAACCAGCTGGTACTAGGTTGGGTGATGATACCACACGCTGATGTTCCACAACAGTTTTCAACTTCATCCCCACACATACATATCGACCTGGTCTTGTTTAGTCATCAGTGTCTCACATCTGATGAAACAGTTACACATTAATTGAAATCAGTGCAGCTGTCTACACTCGCAGTATCAGTCACGTTTCAGTGTGGACTGGTCTGGGACGTGACGTGACCCCCTGCTTAGGTTCATGTAGTCAGCTGTGATATATATGAGGAGGGGCTCAGCATCAACATCTTCCCTCGAATGTCGTGCTGTGTCATAAACACTGTCTGAGTCTTCATTTGTTCTCACTGGAGGAAACATTCCTCTGTCAGATCTCAGTTCAGCCGTCACCTGGGGCAACTCCTCATTACTCAGGACATTCCTTTAGGTGTGGCTGCTTCCACTGCCAATCAATCTCATCTACCTACATCTCCTATATCCTCCCTGGAGTCAACACTGTCCTGGAATTCTTTAAAGTCTCTGGCAGTCATGCTTATAACTGCTGGTGATGTTGTGGTTTCTCACTGTTGCCCATTGCCCCTTTGATTTGATCTGATTCTGATCACTGCTCTTATAGGCATCCTGATCTAAGCTACCTTCAGTTAAATAAAGACAAGGCTGAGATAGGGAACAAAGAAGGAAGGTGTCAACCTAGTGCCTATCTGGAGTCTAGAGCATTAAAGACTTCAACCCATGTTAAATAAATCGGTGTAATCATGGATGGGATCTTGGTTTCAGTGTCCACATCAAAGCTATAACTAAATCTGAGTTTTGGCATCTCAAAAACAGCGAGGGTCAGAGACCTTGTGTCTAACCAAGAAACTCATTCATGCCTTTATATCTTCCAGAGTTGACTATCACAACGCTCTCCTCACTGGTTTATCAAAGTCAGATTTCATTTCTTAGCACTGATATAGAGTACAACAGCACTGGGACTTTTAACTACATGTATCACTCCGCCTCACAGGTGTTCTATTAACTGACTATTAGACTATTATCAGACTATTTGTGTTGGTGTAGCCAAATAAATGATGAAATAAACCAACAAATCATAATCTGTTGTTGCTTATTTAACTAACATGGCGCTTCGTTCCGAGGACAATCACAGCCGTGCTGAGACTCAGTACAGCATTACTCCCTCTTGTGTGATATGCTTAAATACAAATAAATATGCGTTCCCTTGCCTAATCTATACTGGTCATTACCTACCTCTGTACCTGTGTTCTGGTCCCTGTTGACCTCCTTCAGTATTCTCTGCTGATTGCTGGCCTCATTTTGTTTCCCTTGCTCTATCACATTTGTCTTATCCCAGACTAATTCACACATTATGTTTCTTATCTAGAAATCTGCTGCTCCCTGTTGCGGTAGGAGGGATTTTCCTGAACAGCTCATGGAGTGACATCATCACCGGCTCTAACCCCCTAAAACACCTCACATATTTCTTCATTTCTTCAGTTTAAACCAATCAGATTTGACCACGGCGTCTGTGAGGTAATCACCTCTTCCTGCTGCTGTAAGTGCAAGATCAATGCAACCCTCCTCCACCAGTTTTGATCAGGATCAGCCTCCAATGAAGCCTCATCTGAAGTCTTGCTGCACATCACTTCCAAACATATATTCAGTCATTGCCCTTCCCATCTTTTTTTATTGTGCAAATCAAATCAAATACATTCATTCGCTTACTCTTTAATCATCTCTCTGCTCGTCTCTCCAGCTGAGTTTTTAGTAAAGTTTTTGGCCTTTCTGTTTGTGTTCATAGGGACAGTAGGACGAGAGAGGGCAAAGGCAGGAGAGAGAGAGGGACGATGTGCAGCAAAGGGTCCGGGCCGGACTCAAACCCTGCATGTGGCACTTGCTCTACCAAGTGAACCACTGGGGTGCCGCGATGTAATTACTTTCTCAGTGAGCAATGTGTAATGAGTCACTGATCACATTTTTCTGGTAGACACTGATGGAGGACTGACCCTGCTGCTAATGAGCGGCAGCTGCTGCAGACAAGGAACCAGAGTGAGCAGTGAAACCATCGCCACACACTGAGAACACCACACTATAAAGACAACCTCTATCCCAGGTACCTGTGGAGATTCAGACTCATGTTGTAGAGGGCCAACCAGGACTCTCGAAGCCGTTTCATGTCTCGCACGATGTGGATCTGTCCCTCCTCTGAAGTCCTCTCCAGAACCCCCTGACCCTGGACCTCCATCTGCTGCAGCTGGAGCTCCTTCTCTGGGAACTCTCCCAGAGCTCTCTGTGGACAGGGAGTGAGGGAAAACATATACATTACAATTATTGATAATTATATATGATTATTTTCAGAATAAGTCAAGCCATTGAGATAGGCCATCATTTGGCAGGTCAGTGGTTCGTCCATTAATCACAGGGCAAGACACTTTACCTCAGACTGCTCTTGATGGTCAGACCAGGTCCTTGCTACCATCAGTGTGTGTGTGTGTGTGTGTGTATGTGTATGTGTGTGTGTGTGTGTGTGTGTGTGTGTGTGTGTGTGTTTATTGCGAGTTTTATGCAGTTGTTTTGGTTTTATTTGCAGGTTAAATGAATGTCATGTGTCATGTGATCCAGAAAGGAAGGAACAACTTATACTGAGGGAAACTCGTGATGATTATAAAACATGGGCGGTTCTGTGTGATTACAAGTTATAAGTTTACATACACCAGGGGTCTCCAACCTTTTTTGCTCTGAGAGCTACTTTGACTAAAATAAAAGGGGGTGAGAGCTCTTCATGTCTTATATTACTGGTTACATTTATACACATACCGTATCGGAACACTCAAACTGATCTCCAAACCACATCAGATGAATCAGATCATTTAACAAGTCATCAAATATCAATATCCAAAATCATCTGAGACTCACAACAGACAAGAGACGAGTCATGATTCAGTCAGACCTGAACACACAGACATGAAAACACCACTGCAAATAAACCTCCATAAATCTGATTAGAAACCAGAGAAGGAGAAGCTCCTCAGTCAGTGATCAGTGACAGTTTTCAGTTCATCAATGGTTCATAACAAACAGGAAGTTAACATAGATAAATCAGTACACTCCATTTTACAAAATGTAAACAAACATATGGAGCTCTGTGTACTGTCTGTGTATTTGATTCAGTTTTATTTGGAGCAGATTTACTGAGTGAAGTTCTGTTGCTTAAAAATTTGAACCATACATCCATGGTTTGTACAGACTATATTCTCTGCACCTTTGGGTGAGCTCCTCTCAAACAGGGGGTGACCAAGTGGTAGCTCGCAAGCCACCTGTTGGAGACCCCTGACATACACTTAGGTTGAAATCATTAAAACTCATTTTTTTTAACCACTCAGCAAAGGGCCGTGGTCTGGACTCGAACCTGCGAACCCGCTGTGGTGGGAGCGTGTATTTTCAGTGCATGTGTTGTCAAATTGATGAAGACATTTTCTGAATTTGTCTGTGTTTTGTCTGTTTGCATGTGTTTTCTTAAACTGCAGTGCGGTGAGCTCTCAGGGCCAAGGTACGTGTTTACAAGGGTTTTTTTTGCAAATGATTTGTGGGCCCACAGGATGGGAAGCACTGGGCTATGGCGTATGTAAACCTCTGACCTCTACTGGAAATGGTTTCTAAGCTTATCTATGGATGCTGATGATCAGTGGATCAATGACAGATGTGAGACTTTAAACCACAGAAACACCAAAAGGTTTTCAACTTGTTAAACGCAGCTTTTTTTAATATTCACTTGTTGCTTCATAAGGAGCAAGAATTTTTCTGTCGAGCTCCACCACATCATTTCCCGTCTGAGGTGAAGTGTGCGCATTCATCTGTAACCGCTGTTTAAAGTGGGCAAACACGCTGAGGCAAACAGTGTTATTTAGCTGGAATGAAATCCTGCTCTCTGTTTTTTTATTCATAAACTCCTGAACTCCTGAAACTTTCCTGCACGCGCTTCGGTATATTTGATATGCACTGTACGGTTTAACAGAGCGGCGCCTCTCATCTGTCTCACAGTCACATTTAACAACGCCCCCGCTTAATGAGATGCAGAGGTGAAGAGTCTCAGCTCACGCCGGTGATTAGACCGGCAGGTAGGTCAGTGTAGTAATGAAGAGTGTAATTATACAGAGTCTCTGTGGTCTTCTCATTAAAATTCATGCCCGGGTTCAACACTTAGGGTCACTGTGAGCTGACAGCAGCTCTTTCACGGAGCCGGTGGACAGGACCAATCATGTCACTGATATTAAATCAAGAGCAAGGATTTGAATGAAGTGATGAGTGATGAGTGAGTGAACCCTGACACCTGCAGGTCTGGACTTCCTCACTACAAGTAAGGCCAGAGTTCCCCAGGCTCCTAATTAACAAGGAGGAGATGTCACCTCTCAAACATGACTTAAGGAACTACACCAATGCTTTTGCACTTCCATCACCCTGGTGAATTTTATGTGCTTACAAACATACATTACTGAAACACAATCTCCCCGTTCATGCAAATGGATCTCTGCATCCAGGGGCGCATTGGTTTCACCTCATTTTAGCACACTTTCAAAATCATCTCGCAGAGCCTTGAAATTCGCTCAACATGGCTAATGCATCACAATGAAACACACACATGCGCTGGTTTTACCAAGCAGAACACCAGCCTGTTGACGAAGCTGTTCATCCCCTCCTGGCTACCGTGTTTCACAATGAAGCGTTAAAACTGAAATAAATCTGTGTGTTTGAAGTGAAGCACTGTTATTTTTCAGGTGAACCTGAATGATACAGTTTAAAATTTCAACAGCCGAAAGCTAAAATATCACTACCTGCACAGGACGCAGATGTTAAACAACTGCTACGATCCCTGAAGTATAAAACATTTATATAATATACTAAGCTTTATTTCTATATTCTGTTTTTCTGGACTGACAGGGGTGAGCCTGGTTCTCCCATCATCTCCTAACTAATCCAGGTTAACATGTTGTTATCAGGCTAAAATGATCCTATCATTTCTCACCCTGGTAACTTGGTTCTTTAAACTTAGTCAAGTAATCCTGACCATGATAAGTGTTATATCATCAAGTGTCATATGACTGGCTGGGTGCTGATAAGGACGATGCAGGCTTGGCTCTGCTGAGCAGCCAGTATCCTGCAGTTTGGGTTTTGGGTCCAGAAGTTAGAGGATAAAGAAATCCTTCTCTAAAAAAAAAAAAAAAAAAAAAAAAAAAAAAAAAAAGAATATATCACCATCTTATAAACAAATCCCCACTAATGTGTAGAATGAACCAGATCCATTCAAATCCTGCTGTTAAACTGAACCCCTTCAATACATAAGGACTGATTCATGGTGAGAACGGGAGCTGCAGGGACACACACTGACAGACCTGAGCTTCGTGCTGGCGGCCCTCGACGCTCCACTCTCCTGACGAGCTGTGGAAGGACTCCAGCTTCTGCTTCATGATCATCAGCCACTTCTCTACGTTCAGCAGGCTGTCGTGGAAGCTCTCGTGATCTGCGATGTTGTCCTCGCTCTCATCCACCTTCACCTGCAAAGAAACACACAATGAAGCAGGACGGTCTATGGCAGGGAGGAAGAATGTGAAATTCATTCAATGCATTTTCAATATCTGCAGTTTTACAGTCCAAATAAAATTTAAATTCAGTTTTACTGCAACATAAATTTAAATCCCTGGTTTTGACTTGTGTAATTATCTAATAAAGAGCAACACATCAGTGTTTCATCACTGATGTGTTGCTGGTGCCATGTTGTTCCATATGGATCCCTTCGTCCTCTCCGTAAGGCCCGGTACCCGTCCATGGCCCAGTGGTTTACCAAACTGTCCAGACTAAACACCCTCTGACATGTTGACTTCTTATCTCTGCCTTGATGAAGGCCATATTATAATCAAAGTTATATTTTGGGGATTTTGTTATGTCTTTATTAGGACAGTGAAGAGAGACAGGTAACGCAGAGACAGAGAGCAGAGGAATGACCTTGGGACTCTCTGCTCAGGGCATTAGCACCCATGTGGTATGCACCCCCATTAAACCATTAATACACCTGACTACACTAAGTCCTTTTACAACTTTTCTCTATGCTCTGCCTAAAGAACTTTTCTTTTTCACAGAGAACACACACCATCAGTTTAGTTTGGTTCTACGGCAGCCTCAACCTCTGAGGAAGGGCAGCACATATTGTTCACTCATTCATACCGCTTATCTTTACAGGCTGAAGCCACTCCCAGCTGACACTGGACAAGGGTGGGGTCACCTGTCTACCACAGGACTGACATGTAGAGACTAAACAACCATTCAAGCTCACATTCACACCTACGGGCCATTTAGAGTTGCCGGTTCACCTGCATGTGTTTGGACTGTGTGAGGAAGCTGGAGCACCCGGAGGGAAGAACATGCAAACTCCACACACAGCTGTGAGGTGACAGTGGCTAATCACTGCACCGCCGTGTCGGTGAGAGGAGCCCAGACTGTGATAGGTATCAGTATCTATTCATCACCGCACCCTGTGATTTACATTCCACTTTATCTTTTGCCCCATATGCTGCTGCACATGAAGCAACGCCTACTGATTTCTGATTAGCAATTGCAATTGCACTCATGCTAAATCTGTTTCCAGGTCTTAGGGAGAACTTTTAAGCCTCTTGCGTCTCCAGAGGGAGCCGAGTGAAGTCTGATAAATGTCCTCAGTGACGTTCTGTGAGTCTGCGTCTGCTGGGGCAAAAAGACTGTGAGTTTGAAGTTAGCAGATCTCTTCTCTGCTGGAGAAAAGCAGCTCCAAACTACATTAGCTGCTACTAGCATAACACTTGAGTTATGCTAGTTGTTTATTCTTCTTCCATTGACAAGAAAGAAGAACACTTAGAGACAATGTCGCTGGTTTTGCTGCATCAATTGTAATTATCCATCCTCTGAAGGTCTGAAGGTGTTGGAGGAGTACACAGCTAAATCTTCTTTTAATGAAGAGTTCATAGATGTTTTTAATATAAAAATGCAGAAGCCTAACTTCTGGGTGGAGCCTCCATTAGACATTAAGGACAAGTTGTTGTCAGAGAGAACTGATTTAGGATCCGTTGTCAGACTGCCCCCCTCCTCTTACCCTGACTGCCTTGTGCAGATGTCTCCAGTCGGCATAGAGTCTATCAAACTGAGTCCTGTTGCTCTGACTGGAGGAGACCAGGGTCTCCAGGGCTGTGATGTGGGCTTCACAGTCCTCCAGGTCCTTCTGGATCACCTGAGGACACAGAGTTACTTTCAGCTCAGGACACATGAAGTGAAAGTTGATAACGTTTCATATAACATTATTTAAAATGTCTAATCTTTTGATGGTAGGTACCATATCCAGTCTGATAATCCTCTATAATGAATAAATCGATCACTGTGCCACAGTTTTCACACTGATTGGTCACCTGACTCTGAAATCTGATTCTCTGTGTGAACTGAAATGACCAACAGCTGCATGAAAAACTGGTCACTAGTCACTAGTGCGTTTCCTCTGATGCTGTAGGTTCAATACGACAAAATCTTTTAAACTGGAGTCAGATTTCCATCTTTCTTCCCTCCTCTAACTCTGCAGAAGCTACATCTGCTGAGTCTGCTGGAGGCTGCAATATGGCAGTCTCCAGCAGACATTTTGGCCCTGGTCTGACCTGGGGTTTCACTTACCCTGAACTGGTCGGACTGACTCTTCTTGGCCAGGATGTCAGGCTGGAGACCATCTGCCGCCAACACTCGGTCTCGGAGGTGGGCCAGTTTAGAGCGAATCAGCTCGAAGGCGTCACCAAAGTCCTTGGTTCTTGATATTAAGCCCTGACAGAGGGAGAGATGGAAGTGTGTTGTTTACCAGTTTTAATGAAGGGCGGTCTGCAAGAGGAGCTGGAGCCAGTGGTCTTCTACACTGCAGCTCTTTGTTATATCTCTTCATGTGATAACTTTGATTTATAGACCTGATACTGTGCAGGATGTGATGGTAAGCTGGAGTCTGTGTTTCCATCCAGTGGATAAGACAAACAAATAAATCTAGAGGAGGTGTGGTTAGATCCTATCTGCATCTAGACTGAGGGCTGCTGTCATTCAATTACATTTACATGTACTGTTTATTATATAACAGTTAGTTCAGACCAAGTAATTTGATTGGACAAGAGACATTCCAGAGTGCTGATAAAAGCAGAGCAATAGGGGGAATGTTGTTGTACCCAAAGGTACATTTTTCAGAAAAATACCCTGTAAGGTGCTGAAATGGTCCTTAGGGTGATAACTGTTTACTTTTAAAGGTACAAAATCATTGCTGACAGCAAAGGGTACATAATAATATTTTTAACAAGATTAAGATACACACTAATAAATGAAAGTACAGCTGGCTTGGTTGCACTCAGTGATTAGAGAATGGTGCCTTAGGTCTTATGCTTCAAGTTAATGTTGAAAAGCTGCTTTTTCTCCTGTGCTAGAACTTGTTTTAAGGACAAATCAGTTCTATCAGAACAATACATTAAAATGCACTGAAAATTGATTAGTTTACATATAATTTTTGGTAAAAGATGTAAACTACTTGTTGTTTTTTTTAATAAATTTTGGTCAATAACTGTAAATGATTTTGTCTCTGAATCTAGGTGGATGTTTTTGCTTCATAGAGGTACAAAATGTCTCGTGTTGTGTCATGACGTGTCACTGCAACTGCACCTCAAAAGGAACCAATCCTGGGGGCCCCTCGGCGGTCACCTGGTAGAGTGTGTACCACATGGGTTTAGTCCGAATTGCAGTGGCCATGGATTTGAGTCCAACCCGCGGATGTTTTTAGGTCCATTCCTGTACTGTCATTTCTTAGTGTGTATAGAACACAACAGCACTGGGACTTTTAATTACATGCATCTGTGTTCTATTAACTGTTAATTAGCGTTACATTAACGGTCGTTATCTGTCTCAGATTGAAACAAACAGTTGTGGAACTATATGTGTTGCGTAGCCAAATAAATGATGAAATAAACAAAGAAATCATAATCTGTTGTTGCTTATTACTGTTAACTAATAATGCGCTCGTAGAACTGTTGTATAAAAGCAATATCACACTTGGGGTTGAGGTGTGCTGGATATCAGCACGGCTGTGATTGTCTGATGTGTTGATGTTCAGTACAACATCACTCCCTCTCGTGTGACATTGCTTAATTGACGACAGGTTCTGAAAGTGATGTTCACAGGCTGAAGTTCGACTTACAGACTCATGGTTTAGCTCCAGAGGATCAACAAATGGACACCAGGCAAAATTGGACTGAACAACCAAAATCTAAATTTTGTAACAATAAGACTTTGTCTCTACGTTGATATTTGATTGTTACTTGTATAGCAAAAGTGTCCTAAAAGCATCCATGGCAAAAACTAGAGAATCAAGATGGATAGCTGGTTAGCAACAGGAAGAGTTTAAAGGAAAGAGTCAAGAGTCAGATGGTGAATCTACAAGTGATCAAACAAAAAAGAAAAACTGAGCTTCTTACATGTTTCCTTTGCTTTCAGTTCAATCGTTACCAGTGAAATAAAAAGTGCTCTGAGAAGTCTTTATCTGGCCTCTGTGTTGTTACAGGGTCAAATGTGGGCCGCCAACATTTTTAAGATTTTCAAGTGAGTTGAGAAAAGGTTGGGAACCAATGTCCGACGATTAGCTCGCTATCTTTCATCATGTACAGAGGTGAGTGGTGAGGAGGCGGCAGAGACTTTAAAAATGACATATCTATTTCTATCAGGGGACTTTTATTTTATAATTTCACATTTATTAATTTCCAGAGACTTTTATTTCCAAATGCCACCTTTATTTCCCAGCTCTTTTTATGTCCATCTGTTATATTCACATGAGAGGCGTGGTTATCTCACAGATCCAGACCAAAGCAACAGCAGCAGAACAGTAGTATTTATTTATTCATTTGTTCATTTATGTAGCTATTTATTCATTTATTTAACCACTTATATGTCTATATATAAATTAATTTATATATTTCTACATTTATTACCTTAATAATTATTAATTTAAGTTGGGATTAATTTCATAGCTGTATTTATTTATTTAACATTGATTTAAATGGCATTCCATACTCCATCAGGCTCAGTGAAACTTCATTACTATAAAACACACACACATATATATGTGTATATATATATATATATATATATATATATATATTATATTACAAACTGAGAACATTGTGTCTTTTTACATGTGTGTGTGAATCAGATGTCAGAGACTGATCGACCAATCATACTTAAGACCAGCCTTTTTTATCGTCAATCGGTGTATCCCTAAATTTTATCTTACTTGATTAACATGATTAATCTAGAGGTCTTGTGTCTTCTTGTACTGAGGAATCTCTATTTGAAAAATACATGTATATACAGTATATTAAGTTATTATAATTATTAATGTTATATAAAAGGAAGAATAAATGTATGACCAAGTATTAGGACCACACTGAGGAAAAATCACCTGAAATTTTGAATAGTCATAATATTACAAGAATTAAAAATTAAAAATTTCAAGAGAAAAAAAACATCATTTTTGGGAATATTACAAACAACCAATACAAGATGAAGTATTTCACCTTATTTTTGAATCTACCTACTCATTTTAAAGCAGGTAAACGCTGCTGCTCTTCTGATGTTTCCCCTTTAAAGCAACACCTAACCTAAAATTACGACCTTATTCACGTAATATTATGACTTTTTTCTCATAATCTCAGGTTGTTTTTCCTCAATGCGGCCCTAATACTCCATGGTATAAATGAGACGTGGGCATGTTGAGGATTTCAGGGTCCAGAATCAGGCTTTCAGCAGTAGAGTGAACTTTTACATGGTACAATTTTTAAAAGTTGATTTCTACTCAAGTTCAAAATAAAAGATCACCTGTCTTCTTGTACCTTGTTTGTATTCAGATGTGAGATGCAGTGAAACCAGATGAATGGCAACATGCTGTTACCTGTAGCCTGCTCTTCCTCTGCAGCAGCTGGGTGTGCAGCAGCTCTCTGTTCTTGATGGCAGTGCTCAGTTCCCCCTGCAGACCGTCAGACCTCTCAGGACCAAACACAGAGTCTAGCAGTTCTCCCTTCACCTGCAGCAAGCTGAAACGCTCCTGCAGCTGGACGCTGTCCCTCAGCAGACGCTACCACAGAGGACAGAGGTGGAGAACACATTCAGTATGTTGCTCTTTAGACAATATGGTCAAGTGCAACTTACAAATTGCAGCTTTTCTGATAGGTAAAAAGGTCAAATATGTCATTTGTGTGTCAACATTTATAAATGTAATAGTAATGTATTGTGGTGCTACAGGCCTAAAAATCCTATTCTACAGATGTAAGGGAACGTGCTAATCCCTGAATTGGATTTATTTCATTGAGTAGAGCTCAGAGCCTCTCAACAATGATGTGCAATGAAGCTTATGTAAGATTTTAAACTGTGTCTCTGTGAGTATCACAGCTCAGAACCGTGAGTGTATTCTCTATAACTGATGCCCAGATATATTCTCCTATCTGATTCTCTACATCAATCTGTCAATGCTTTCCACTCTCATCAGAGGAAAAGAATAGAATAGATAAACTGTATATAATAATATATATAAGAAATAAATCTTCTTGGCACGGGCTGTTTAAGAATGTCTTTGTAAATAGTGGAAAAAATGAGACCGCTGAGCCCTTGAATGACTCCATTGTTCTTCCTTCTTATAGTCTACCAAGCTGGTCCAGACCCTCCTCCTGCCAGAGCCTGAACACCAAATCCTGGCATGAGGGGGAATCTGGATTTTTCCATATGGGAGACAGAAGTGAAAATTTTTTTAAGTCCTTTAGTCAGTACACCACAGTTTCTAGGCTCAACATCAATCCACACACACAAACAAACACACACACACACACACACACACACACACACACACACACACACACACACACATACATACATATACATACATATATACATTTATATATTGTAAATATATCTGATTTTTTTTTTTATTATTGTAAAGCACTTTGAGCTACATCTCTTGTATGAAAAGTACTCTATAAATAAAGTTTATTGTTATTATTATTTAAATTCTTCCATTCAACCCTCTCAAACACTTTTAATGAATCCAGAGACATCAAACCATGAACATCATTATCACTGGTTAGCTGCATTATGTTCAGAAGCCTCCTCCTTATGAAATTCCTTTCTTTGATAAAGCCTGTTTGATCAGGTTTTATTAGTACTGATATTAGTGGTTCAAGACCTCAGCCCAAATCTTTGCATCTACATTAATGAGCGTTTCAGGCCTGGAAGACGCTGGGTCTTCAGGGTGCTTGATTTTTTTTTTCAGAATCAAACAGATGTTGGCTGAAGATGTTGTTTCCGGTAAATGGAGGGTCTCATTAAAAATGTAGCTACTGGCTCTGTCCAGGTAGGGAGGAGACTTCATTTAAAATGTTCCCCAGAAACCTTAAGAGATTGCTAACTTTTGTCAGATTTGTATAATGACTTGTAAAACAATGCAAAGAGAGAATGAATGTATTTCCTGTCAAAGTACCTTCTCCCTCCTGAATCTCTAACCCCTGCTGTATTGTGGGTTTGTGCGTGTTTAAGCAGCCGTGCCAGATATTTACTAGGTTTGTTCCCCACATAGTTTTAAGATCAAATCTCTTCATACAGATCTTCATACAGAACTTCATACTGAATTTTTATGTCTCTACTACAGTTATGCCACAGTGATGCAACTCTTACACAGGCTTTGACTTTGAAATTTCCTTTACTGTAGACTTGAAATTACAGAGTCATAAATCTTTCTGTTTTCAGAGAGGTTAATTTACTGACCTGCCGTGTGCCCCTCCCCTGGTTTTCTTTCTGTTCCATTTCCTTAGAGACATTTCTCCAGATCCAGACTACATATTAAATGACATTGTTTATTCTTGTTTTATGTGATAGTTTAACAGAAAACAGAGGTGTCTGCTGCACAGCCTCCTGACTGTACTCGTTAGATTTGTGTCTCTGATGCAACTCAGTCAGAGTGCATTGAGGTTTCCACTAAGACCGGGTTGGACAAAATGAAAACAACTTTTTGAGTGTAAACATGTTGTATTATATCTGTAACAGTGTCATCAGAGACATGATCTCACTGTTTATCACATGTTTTCTCTGTTTAGCAGAAAACAGTTTCATGAATTATGTATCAGAGAGAAGGTTGAGTGTAAACCACTGGCTCTGTGTGTTCACTGTGATTCAGAAACAGCAGGAAGATGTTTGACTTGTGTTCAGGATCACAGCTTGAGGAAACTGCTGGTTTATCATTTGCAGTAGAGGTTTCTGAAAGTTATCTGAAGTTGCGTCCACACCTGAACCTGACGTGCTCGGACTGATTCAAACTGGTTTAATCCCCTTCATTTAGCTTGGTGTGAAACCTGGGGCCGGTTTCACAAAGATATTTCAGACTGGTCTGTCGTGTTGGTCCAGTCTTAATTGTGCTCACAGATGAGTCCAATGCAAGTTTCACAAAAATAAAGACTGACTCATTTCAAGACAAAAACATTATACACCTCACCCCCAGGGGCTGGTTTAACAAAGACAGACTGTGACTGTGTCTTAGAAAGAACAGTCAGACTTCAGACAGACGTCTGAATTCATCTGTTGCAAAAAGCAGTTTAGTTCTTGACTAGCTTAAGTTGGATGGTGGTACAATGAATTCTGGGTAAATTTTCTATTATTCTATATATTTTAAATACAAAAAAATGGCCGACTGAGGAACAGAATCCGACCACTGAGCTCCAATTCAACAGTTACAAGGACATTTTACGTGAAGAGTGAAACAATACAAAGAAAAATCTGTCTCTAAAAACTCTTTCCCCGGCTCAAAATGAGTCAGTCTTTATTTTTGTGATATGGTCTTACTTGCATTAATTCTCACCTATGAGCCAAATTAAGACTGGACCAACACTACCAACCAGTCTGAAAGATCTTTGTCAAACCAACCCCTTAACCTCAGGCTAACTCAGGCCCAAGACTAATGTTACCATGGTAACGATCAATGACACCTGCGCTGACCAGTAGCACCCAACAACAAAAACAGGAAAATATGTCTCATAATGTGTGGTTTGCTGACATTGTTATGGAGAGAGCAAAGACAAGGGAAAGAGTTGAGAGACGGCAGAGATTGTTGGGTAAACAGAGCTCTTCGGTTGAATGTGGTTCCTCGGTCGGCCATTTTTTTTATCTTGAAAAAGTCTTATAAATTACCCAGAATTCAACGGACCACAGTCTGGTTTAAGATGATCCAGAACTAAACTGCTTTGTGCAACAGACGAATTCAGACTCAGTCTGTCTGAAGTCGGACTATTTGTTCTATCTAAGCCACAGTCGAAGTCTATGTTTGTGAAACACAGAACACTTGAAAACCGGGTCTTGGTCCAGTATACGTAGTGAAAGCAAAGCCGAACGATCACAGGATTTCATCACGATCACGATCCACACAGCTACCTCTCAAACTCATGTTTGAATCTGTCTTTTACATTATCTAACTATTAGTTTATTAATTTATCATATATTTATTCATCATATAGTCATTGTATAATTGTATTATGTCTCACACATTAGTAAATAATAATAATATAGAATATATGTGATTGTAGCAGGAATTCAGTGGCTACACTACTGTTGAATAATCTGTTTATTGTGAACCATTAAAGAAGCCATTTATATTATTATACAAGGTTGCTAAGTAACCATGGTAACACAAATGAATGTCTGCAGGTGAAGATTTTCTCTTGTCAATGAGAAAGTCAGTGACATCACCAACACTGGCTGATGAATCTTTTACCTGCCTGACCTTCAGCTTTTCAGCAGCAGGAAGTTACTTTCTTTTGTTACTTCCTGTTCTTCCTTCCTATTTGTAAAGAATATAAATAATGATAATAACTGAATTATCATCATCAGACCTGTTGATACTTTTTGCTACAGAAACATTGAGCTGCTGCTGATGAACTCCAAATCTAACAGTGCACCAGTGACGCTCCTTTCAATAGGACAGGCGTTGTGGGCGTGGCGGTGTCAGGTCATGTGATCTCCATGTTTACTCTTCTTGGTCCATTTTGCAAACACAACAACAGAGAAACAACTCTCACCACATGAACTGTGTGCAATCATGTGTGTGTGTGTGTGTTGTGTGTTTTACCTCTATGTTCTGGACCAGCATGGCGATGTGGGAGAAGTCGGTCACCTCGGCAGAAGCCTCCAGCACCTGTGAGACCATGTGGCTCCACTGGGCGTAGACCAGCAGCGGGTCCTGGAGGATGTTCCTCAGGCCGGACTCCGACTCTGAACACAGCCTGGTCGCTCTGGATTTCACACTGCAACACGAACAACAAGAGATTTACAACAAGGAAAACTGGAGCAGAGATTTACAAGGCTGTTAAGTATTAATCATTCTTATATAAACAATAACAGAACTGATAACAGCCATTTTTATTATCACTAAAATGTTTAGTATTTACAAATCCTGTCCATTTAGGTCTGGGTATCATCGGATAATCCACAATTCATTTGTTATTTAAAAACAAAAAAATGTAAATCTTGTTATTTGTTTCAAAATCAAAACAGAAAAACAGCGTCAGAATCGAAAAATGAAGAGCCAATCAAAATGGCTAGTTTATGTTAATTCCTTTTGACATTATTTGGTTTTAAAACCAAAACCAGAATTCACCTGATTTTATTTGATTTTTAATTCTAAACCAAAAATTTCTCATTTGGCAGAGACAGTAGATCGGTGGACAGACATGAAGAGGAAGTGAAGCGTAAAAAAGTCAAAATAAAAGCCCAGAAAAGATAAAAGTGGAACATTAAGCACACAATCTATACCAGGGTAATGTTAGAAGATAGACATAAGAACGAATGAATTAATGAATAAATAAATAAATGCATACATAGGCTACACAATTAAATATCTTTTAATTTAGACATGAAATATCTTTTATCAAAAAAGTCTGGGATGTATTATTTAATTGCGTAGCATCAATTAATAGCCTATATATGGAAATAGCCTGTATGGTCCTTCCTATACAGTGTTGTCTAAAGCCTCAGGTGAACAACGGTCAGACTCAGCTGTCTGAAACGTTTCATAAAAGATCTTTTTTCTGTTTTGTTTTTTTGTTTTTAAATTACAAATGAATTACAGATTATCCGATAATACCCAGACCCATTTAATACAGTTTTATTTGTTTTTGGCCATTCTTCAAACACAAGTCTGTTCAGCTGCTCTTTGATGGAGGGGTTTGTTGTTCTGCTAAACCTGGCCAAGTCATAGTTCTTCTTTAAAAGCTCAGGTATATTTTCACAGTGTGTATGGGATCATTGTCATGTTGGAGAGTTTGCTCATTTTTCTAATCAGTATTTGAACATTCACGGTGCCAACTACATATGTCATCTATCCTACACCTTTTGCTCTCATCCAGCCACGTATCAGCTCCAACTCCACCTCCATGTTTCACTGTTGGCAATGTGCAGTCACTGTGGTGGTCCTGGCCAGGTCCACACCAAACATGCTGGACTTGATCTGATCCAGACACATTTAATTTGGTTACATCTGACCAAAGAATGAGCTGCCAACATTCATCGGGCTTCTTTTCATGTTTAATCTTGCAGTTTTGTGCAGTTTCATTGAGCAATGGTTTTTCTTCTTGAACGCCGACCAAAGAGGTTAACTTCATGTCACATGGGGGTTTTGCACTTTGATATCGTTTTCTTTTGCCTCCTCTGCTTTGTAGCATCAGTTAGCTTCATTTTGGATCCCCACTCTGTTGCTTAGAGGAGCTCATGAGAGTTACAAGGTTTGAAGAGTCAGAGACTTTATCAGCTCTGAAATAATTCATCAGACAGTTCTTAATGACAGTTCTTCACCTTACAAGTCCCTAATGAGTCACATGACACAGAGTATTGCGCATAAAAAAAAATTCAAGTTCATCAAAAAAAAAAAAGAACAGTGTATAACATTTGAAGGAATGTATGTTTGCCACATGGGTTGTACTTTGTCATAGTTCATTCATTCTCTGCCTGCCTTTGCAATAGTACTAACACTCCTGTCAAAACACTAATGTGGTCAACAAGATTCACGTTCCTGCTCAATAATGTTTCATATTATTCCACAGATTAACTGCTGGTGGCAGTGACACGTGAAGAAACCAGAAACCTAATGAAGACTTCCAGTTTATGTAAAAATGGATGTAAACAGTTCGGGCTTGTGTATGTGAAAGAGATGAGAACATACATGTGTTCTGGTGAGAAACAGTGAATGTAATGTTTAGAAGAAAAATTTCACTGGGTACCTTTAAAGATAAAGTAAAGCGACATGGATATTTATAAAACCTTTCTAACCCATTTCACTTAACAAGAGCACTTGCCAGAGACATCTGTGACTGTCAGAGTGTGACTGCAGTTTGTTATAGAGATGCAGTTAAAGTCCCTCCAGTCAGAAATGTGTTTTCTCATTGTTCCTTGACTGTGATGTCTGAGTTTCACAGAGCAGAGTGATGTATGTGTGAGTTTGTTTCTCTGTGCTCATATTAAATCTCAGTTTGGATGATTTTTATAACATCATCACTGGTTTTGAAGCAGTGATGCCTGATGGATTCAGAGGCTGCATTTGAAGACCGACTGTGTCACAGAGGCACGACTACACTGTTTCATTACGAAGGCTCCTTCAAATGTCTCCTTCATTTCCTGATCCACCTGTGAAGTTTTGAATGAAAATAACATGGCAGCAAACAACACTGACAGAGTGCTTGAGAATGATACTTTTAAATAAGCATTGGGTTTCAGCTCAGTTCAACAGCTAACGGTTCAACTGTTAAAACCAAGGGCCGTAAAACCTTAAAACCATTTTTTTAAAAAAAAGTTACGTGTTGTCAAGGTTGCTAGGCAACAGGAGTTGTGCTTTGTGATGAAATGGTAAGGGTGGGCACAGCTGGTGATGCAAAGCTGAAATCATCCATAGGCCAGACCCTCTCATTTCAATTCAGCCTTCACGGTCTACGAGGGGCCACACCTTCATAGACCGTGTCCTCAAAAAGGATGCTGCCCTGAATTGGGAAACTCTATAACTGCTTTCCGGCGGAACTTGACCGCTCCACTAATCTTGACACACAGAAGCAGCAACACACAGTAGCAGCCAATGAGGTATCTTCATATCTACATCTATGGTTTTCACCATCTGTCTGAAACTGTCTAGTTTAGCTCCTGTCTCTTTAAGACCCCCCTCCCAAAAAGCCCAGTCTGCTCTGATTGGTCAGCTTCCACAGCCCTGAGCAGGAACCAGCCAGCACCCCCGTGTCTTATTTCTGGTCTTCCATGTCCACCCTCTAGACTTTACTCACAGAGCTGCAGAGATTGGAATCCAAGGTCCAGATAAAAATGCAAAGGTTTTCATGCTGTATGAGGTCAGACAAATAAAACCTATATCCACTGATGTATAAGGCTTGGAGCAGAGGTCTGTGGAACTCCATGATGTTAACTTAGCACTAACGGACTCACTGAAACAACACCTCTGAATCTCTGACCGTTTTTATTTTCCTCTACAGTCACCACCATGTTATATTGTTCTTTCCAGGTAACTCAATAAATGATTAGGAAACTATTAGGACCCATTTAACAAAGTGTTACTGCCATTTATTAGTACGAAGGGCAAACGGGGGTTAGGGAACATAATTAGGGCGTCAATATAAACAACCTGATGCCTAATGGTTTTGTTTACCTAACAGAGCAAAACAGGAAGCAGTCCCACCTGTCTTCACACGACTTTATTTTAGGCTTTTTAACCAGCGTCCCACTTAAAATCATCATTACTCCCAGCTTAAGGGAACATGTGGCTAAAATAAACTAACTCATGTCTGGATCATTCCATTAAGCCTCACAAATCTCTCAAAGTAGCACTAAAAGCTTCATGACCTGCTGCAGGGAAGTAGAATTCAGACATGTGGAATATTTATTCAGTTTAAGTAGCTGATATTGTTAAAAGACAAAGATAAACACATGTAATAGTGACCTGATTCATTTCGGATTATTATTATCAGGGAGAATCTTGGGAATGGTGTTTTAAGTTGAGTACATTCCCAACCTCATCAAATATTTGCTAAACATTTTTGCTTTCACGAAGGATGCTGAAGGATGCTGAAGGATGCTGAAGGATGCTATATAGCTAATTTCCTCCTTCATGACAACTGTACGGGGTTGAATTTTTATATAAATATACATTTTATTAAGGCTTAAAGTTGTGTATAATTGAAGGCGTGGCCTCTTTGAGTGACAGGTGGGTGAGCATGTTCTCAGCTCCACAAACGCCCCTCCTCTTTGTCCATTTTTGTACTAGCTTGGAGTTAGGGGTGGAGTCAGACACTGCCAAGATGGCGACGACGGACCAGCCCATTCTGAGCTTTGAAACCGCTCTTCGGAAACCTGTGGGTGTTGTCACAGAGGCTACGTCCATCTCTATTTACAGTCTATGATTTTGACTGACGGTAATTTTGTTTGGGAACATGTGAATATGAAGCAGTAAAACACAGAATCACCTCACAGGATAAAGGTCTTCACGTAGGTCTTGCGTTAAAAAATGATATTGATAGTAATTTCACACAGTGCATATCTCTTAATTCATTTGTATTAAATCACAGTAGCACAACCAAACCTTGCATCGGTACTTAGTACTCCAGAAAAGAAAAACTGCACAGAGCATAGAGAGGAGGAACAGGAGGAACAGGACTTTAAGAAGTGCTGAGCAGTTCTAAGCTGCCTGGGGCTGCTTCAGTCTCTAAAAAATGTGCATCCAATTAACCCCATGACCATGGTGTACATGTTCCTCCTTGTATATGTGCTGGTAGAACATCCAAACAATATGATGACATCCTGATCAAAATCTGTAGTTGTCAAAAACTCCACACAACCTTTAATTTCCTCTTCTTTGATTCATCTGACATACCTGCAAAATCATGGGGTGTATGAAATTTAATGAATTTATAATTTGGACTTTTAAAGACATTGTAGGCGAAGAGTAGTGGTGAAAAACAAAATGTCGGAAAAATGTGTGAAAGAAGCGTCAAAGCGTCAGAAAGACACCAATCACAACTTCTAGTCAGGACTTTCACAATAAAATCAGAGCGGAAAACAGGATGCAGAGATTTGTGAATTGGGCCTTGATTGAGCTTTTGGCCAGATTGCCCTCCCCTATTGTTGCATCTATTGACAGAGCCAGTGTGGTAAGTTACACTTTCACATTTACATTTATTCTAAAGTTAGACAAAGTAATTAAAGGTCGGTAAAGAGAAGACCACTCTCAGTAAATGAGGACTGAACAAAATAAATTGAAACTGTCCTGAGGCGAATCCAATCATTTCACTGCAGATAAGTTTAACAGGACATATTATGTGGTTTTCATGTGACCCACAAGGTTCTGCCTGTCAGGGTTTTTAAACAGTGGTCCACTTCCTGTCACATACCTTTGATGCTCTTTGACCACAGCCAGGACGTCATCAGAAAGGTGTCGTGAGTCCACTGAGAACCTGAAGAGATCCTTAAGCTGAGTCTTGAGGAGTTCCACCTGGGACTCCTCCCCTGCCAGAGTATTCCTCACACCCTGCAACACACAAGCAGAGTCAGACTTATATTTTCATGTTGAGCTTCCTTAATCCAACCACAGTAATAATATGAAATATTGAGTATTGACATTAAAAATATAAATATAAAATTAAATCTATGTAGTGCAAAGACAAAAAGTATGTGTAAAGTGTATAATGATCCATGTTACTTGGGAACACTCGAACATTTTCATAATTGAGGAAAAAAGAATTCATCTGAAGATGGCACCACTGTCCCCTATTATTCTCCACTTTCCCTTCAGCTTCAAGAAACAACAGACCTCTGTGGCAGTAGACATCATGATGAGTCATAGCAGGAACAACACAACCTAATAACATAACATTAATGATGACGTGGCAATCAGCCAGTGTGGACCGTGCATCTGGCACATGTACGTAGGCTGATGTCATTACTAATGAGACTAATGCAGACAATAATCTATTCACTTTAGGTGTGTCACCATGAAGCACTGACATTGTTATCATTAGTAGTCTTGTGAGTTGTTAATAATTGACATGACTAAATGAAAAGTAGCTGTAATTACTTGAATTAGCTGCAGCTGTGATCACGTGCACTGACACATCTGTGCAAAGAGTCCACTGAAAACCAGAGCTGCACTAATGTGAAATACATCAGATCAAAATACTGACACACATCTGTTCAAGTGTTGTTGTGTCTGAATGTTCTTTTCTTTCTATGTGAAACACAGAATGTTTGTGATGTTAGAACATTTGAATCAGTCGTGTCAAAAATCCATTTCACTGTAGAGTTTAATGACTCACTACCACATGAACTAGTGACCAAACTTCCTTTAAAAGAGCAGGTACCATGCGCTAAGGCTGAGTCCATATCAAGCATCAACCTCCGAAGCTCAAACATGAAGCCAACGCACAAGTACTAAAACCTGCAGTTCCTCCAATGACCACTAGAGTCTGGCTCCAACAGTGAGTCAGTCCACATAGACTCCCATGTTAAAATGTCCAACTTTACAGCAGAAATAAACATGTTCACAGCCTGGTACAAAAAACAGTTTTTTGTAATTTCTTTTTTTTCTAATTTCCTCCTTCATGACAACTGTTTATATAACTCACCTGTTTACATTTTATTAAGGCTTAAAGATATGTATAATTGAGAGCAAAAAATGAAATATATAGTGCTTGGACTGACCTGCCTGTGAGATAAGGCAGACTCAGTACTTTCTTAAAACTAATTTGTGTGTGTGTGTGTGTGTGTGTGTGTGTGTGTGTGTGTGTGTGTGTGTGTGTGTGTGTGTGTGTGTGTGTGTGTTTTATACGGCATCTGCTCCCAATAACTGTCCTTATTTATATTGAGGTATATTGTCCTGCTTTTGATCATTGCTTTTGATTAGTTTATCCAAAGGTCCCATATAAATAAAGTTATTATAAAGTTATTATTATATTATCTTTAAAAAAGAGGGCCGATTTACAACATGACAACATACTGCAGTTGCTGTTCATGTTGTTTCCATTTTTCACATGAAGCAGGTTATAGACGGACACTCTCAGTATTTCCTATGCAGGAACTCAATGTTCTCACATTCAAGAAACTAGAATGAGTTCATCACATTAGCCTTTCAGTCCTCAGCAGGCCTTCATATCTTTGTAACTATAACTCCTTTAATGCACAAATTACAAAGTGGAAACTTTCTGCAGGACCTCTAAGATTACTGAAGTACTCTGATATATGGCAAACTAATGGAAGCATATACGCACTTGACACAGAGAAGTGAAAATCTGTTCTTCTTGAAGCCAAAAAGCTTTGGATGGATTCTTTCCACCCAACGAAAAGTGCTCTCATGAATTATTAAATGCACTTATCTAATCAGAGCATACAGTTTCTTTACAGTGAGGACCATTAGCGGAGCATGTTCTATAATAATTGTGTATTGTAATTTTTAAAGTGTATTCTGGGTAGCGACATATTTCAGCTACGATGGCATATTTGCAATGCAGATAAAGTTGAGTTGTTTACACCCTATTTCTCATATGAAACTAAAAGTGAAAACAGATTGTGTCACGGCGAGGTGACAGCCTGTCGAGATTTGCAGCAGATGATAGACAGATGAGTCCGTCACATCGCTCTGCATTCCAGTCACACCCAGCAGAGGCAGCTCCACAGGTCCACAGGTACTGAGTCTCTGCTGATTCCGACTTTTATCTGTCACGTGCTGCAAATGTGTGTATGAAACACATAAAGACTAAATTCTACAGAGGTAAAGCATGTCACGTTTATTCCCATTATTCTGCTACACGATGTGAAAGGACTGCTTATCAATCCAAAGCCAGCAGGGACCTGCCAGACATAGAAGTGGATGAAACCAGTGCATGTCGCAGCGTGAGGCACCCAGGCAGAAATAATAATGACTGCACACCTCACTGAGGTACTGAGTGGATCCACTTAAGTCATGAAGCAGATTCACTGACAGGGCTGCAGGACTCAAGTTTCCAGCGTGTGAAATATACTATGATGGAGTCAAGATTCATCATGTCAGGGCACAGAGGTTATTTCCCCTGCTAGAGGGACTGGAGAAAGAATGACGATATGAGATGTTATGAGAGAGGAAAAGAAATAGAAAATGAAGACAGGCAGCCACAGAGGACAATGGATAATGGTGAGATCGTGGAGGAGAGATGGAATGCAAAGTATGTTGGTATGCTGGAAAGCAGTGGAGTTAAATTAGCAATGCAGGAGTGAACAGTTACCAAACCTATGACAGAACATTCACCCTCAAGCCTCTTTTGCTGCCAACCAAAATGAGTCCAAAGCACCGAGTATCAAAAACTCTCAGGTCATGAATCTGGCACCAAGTGTGTGACCAGATTTATAATCCTAAACTTTATAGAGGAAAAGTTCATAAAGTTCTCACCTGAAAACGTTAGCTTAGTTTTCTAAATAAATAAGACCAGGCGATAAAATATATAATAATAAAATAAAAATAAAATAAAAAACATCAATAAAATAATGTGAGCAACTACTTTAAATGGAAATTAGCTAAAGCTGCTAAAATATGTCCTTTCACTCCCACATAAAACAAACTTCAAAGACTGTCCTTGTTTCACCTATGCAACGCTACAAAAATCAGCCTCCTCACAAAAGGATGCTGAAAAACTAGTCCATGCATTTGTTACTTCTAGACTGGTCTATTGTAACTCTTTATTATCAGGATTATTATCAATAACCCACAGAAAAGCTGATTCAAAATACTGCAGCTTCAGTACTGACAGGAACTAGAGAAGAGATCACATCTCTCCTGTGTTAGCTTTATCGGCTCCCTGTAAAATCCAGAATAGATTTTAAATCCTCCTCCTCACCTACAGAGCTATTATTAGTCAGACACCATCGTATGTTAAAGAGCTCATAGTTCCCTGTTATCCTAACAGAACGCTCTGCTCTCTAAGTACAGGTCTACTTGTGGTTTCTTAGAGTTTCTAAGACCAGAATGGGAGGTAGAGCCTTCAGCTATCAGGCTCCTCTCCTGTGGAACCAGCTCCCAGTCTGGGTCCAGGAGGCAGACTCCCTCTCTACAGTTAAGATCAGGCTTCAAGCTGTGCTCTTTGATAAAGCTTATGGTTAGAGCTGGTTCAGGTCAGTCCTTAACCATCCCTTAGTGATTCTGCTATAGACCCAGACTGCTGGGGGAACTCCCATGATGCACCAAGCTCCTCTCTCCTCCTCTCCATCTGTACTCATTCATATTCCATTAATAGACCTGCTGTATATGAAAAGTGCCCTGAGTTAATGTCTCTTATGGTTTGGAGCTCTGATGAAAATCCAGTGTTTAACCTTGTTGACTTCCATATGATGTTTTTATGTAACACAAAACATATGATGAGTGAAATAATCATCAACACCATGACTGAGTGTTTCCACCTTGAACTGCAGTGAAACAATGACAGCCTCATAAACACAGATTCAGACAGCCAGGGTTTGATACGTCACAAAGCTAAGGAACCAATCCTGTCAACTTGTGGGGATGGGGGGCGGAGCTAAATAAACCTGAAACCTTGTCAGTACAGAGAGTCAGAGATAGCATTAGCTTCAACCACTAACACTATGTCACCCACAGCCAGTTACAAGCTAACAAACAACATAAACAAATAAAAGATGCTAACTATGCTAACCGCTCTGATCCGTCTGCTAGTCTCTCGTTCTGGTCTCATCTGAGTCTGGGTCTGACTGAGGCTCAAACATGTGGCTGAGTCTCTCTGATGTTTCCTCCTCTAACCATCTTGATACTCTCTGCTCTTTCACCTGTCCACCTGGAGCCAGCAGGTGGTGGGCGGGGCACAAGGCCGGATCCAGAGTTCTTAATCAGGAAGTAAGAGGAGATGAGCTTCAGATCCAGTTTTTGACGTGAGAAAGCCATGTTAAAAAAGATATGACTCATAGCAGAGTTTAAAAATATGTCTGGAGAGGAACTTTAAAGACAAAAAAAGAAATCCATTTGTGCCATAAATCATTACTGAGGGGTGCCGGTGGTCTCATAGTTGGAACATGTACCATATATCCAATTTAAAATCAGAGTTTGTGCAGGACAAACACTTCAGAGAAAGTCGTCAAACACAAGGGTTCTGCGGTAAATCCTCCTTCATGAAGTTTATAACATACATGTTAAAGAGGAGCATTTTGGAGGATGTAGACTGTGCTGCTATCTCACTTGAGTAGCCAACCAGGACTTTCCTGCATCTTGTTATCATTTCCTTTAACCTTCATAATAAGGTGTTGAGAAGAACCCACCGTGTATTTCCTCCACTGGCCCACCATCTGCTCCTCGGTGCGGTCGGTGCAGTCCCCGGCCTCGCGGCCCTCCACCAGCTCCTGGTCGAGCCCCTGCAGCAGCACCCTGAGGCGCCCGATGTTATCTCCTAGCCGCTGGCACCGGGTCATGTACTGACTGTGGGAGTCCAGGCTGGAGCGCAGACCCTCCTCGGCCTCGCACAGGCCCTGCCTCAGCCTCTGCCAGCCCAGCCTCAGCTCTTCTGCCTCTTCCACCACCACGTCGGCCCCCCCAGGAGAGGTGCTGCCCCTCACCGCCTCCGCCACACCCTCAATGTGCTGAAGGGTCTTCTCCTCGCCGGCCACGCTGTCGTCCAGAGCCTGGCACAGGAAGTAGAAACATTAGAGCGTGTCACCAAGATACAGCTGGGAAAAATGTTTTTTATTAAATGTGTGACTACTGAAACAAATAAAGAACACTATGCAGACCAAAGTATGGAAAGAGTATGGAAATGTTAGGCCATAGTCAATAATTAAGCAACATGGAACATTTAGGAACATAATTTTTATCCCAATATTTATTTATTAGTTTTAAATGCAGTATTTAATCTATTTTTTTTTATTTTAAGTGTTCAATTTATTTAAATCTCCATATAGTCTAAATGTAGATGTCCATGTGTTTGATTATAGATCAGGTCTAGTTTCTATATTAATACTGTGAAAGTATCAAAGCCTCAGTCCACAGAGAAATGCACACAGCCTGTATTCAGAAACTGAGCCTTAAAACCAGCTGTCAGGACTTCTGGAACTTAGTGATGTCACAACAAAGCTGTTACTACTCTCAGCCATGCCCCAAGCCCCGCCCACCTGGACCCACCATCAAAACTTGCAGGATTTGGTTTCTCTGAATGTTTACCTGTTATCTGCTATATTTCTATTGGATCACTCAGAACAGTCAGCCAATCAGAAGAGAGGCTCAGAGCCTCCTCTTGTCCGATTGGCTCACCGAGCAGTTGTTACTAGAGCTCCAGAGAGAAGCCTGAGAGAGGAGATGTAAAACTACATTGAGATGGTTTTTGGTTCTTAAAACCACAAATATATCTTCTTCTGGATCAACACTTCAAATAAAACACAGAAGAAGAGGAAAATATGGAGCTTTAAGTCTATAATTCTGCCTGAATAAAGACATATATCACTGCAGCATAATCTGTATTATAATCTTATATTTGTTATAATGCAGTGTAATATAATTCTTTTATGATGCTTTGCTGCAGTGGCACCATTTACCACTGAAGATGTTTATTATATTTATATTTACCTTTCATTTTATTTGGTGCTTTTAAAGTAAAAAAAAGTCCATGTTACACAGCTGAAAATATTCATTCAGACCACCTCCTCCACTGCTGAAAATAACAGACAGGCTTTGAGACTGTGAATGTGGCGACAACAGTGTGAGTGAGTCTCACTTGTAAGGCTCTGAGTTTGTTCTCAGCCGTTTCCTCCCTCTCCATCAGATCAGTTAGCTCCTTGGTCTTTGACAGCAGCCAGGACTGGAACCTCTGAACACAGCCTTGGTACGTCTGGTGCTCCTCAGCGATCTTCTGAAGGAGCGACAGACGCTCCTAGCACGGCAGGAGACACAGCTCGTGGTAATTTTTAGCAGCACATCACAGATCACAGACGCCACATTCGTGGGTATATCAACGTGAACGTGGGATCTGAATTCTCCAGTGAGACTCTCCTCTGTCTGTGACTTCAACCACGAGTTGAAAAATTTTTAGACAACAAGAACACAGAGACAGTTCACAGGTAGGAGGTGCTTCCAGGGAACATTAGACCTTAAAACACAGCATTATTTAAATCACAACTCTCCCATTTGGAATCAGAAGCGCAGCTTTGGCAGCAGATCGGTTTGTTCATGTGAAATCATGATGGAGGTAAAGACTGACGTGGGTGTGCGGTTAAATCTGACTGACGTTTGAAAGACCTGTCTGAGAGCAAAGAGGAAGAGCAGCCTCATTGTGCAGCGACATGTACTCATCCAACAGTATCTAGTTCACACACACTTATACACACACCATCACCTCATTTCAGCCATTTGGACTCACAGCCACAGTTTTTGTTCCATTTGATCCCTCACGTAACACTCTTCAACTGAGCCAACAATATGTGTGTGCAGGAGTGTATATATACAGTATATGTGTGCGTGCGCATGTGGTTGTGGTGGTTGGGAAGAATGACAGAACAAAGCTGCTATTGCGACTGCAAGTGTTTCTCAAGGCCGGCATTTCCTGTTACAAAGACGCTGTTCCTCATTCAAACAAAAGGGATTCTCTGTAGTTTTAGTCAGGAGGATGAACGTGTTGTCATTTCATGGATCACCTCCATTTTCTGTCTTTGAATATTTGTTTAGTTCTTTTCATTTCCTTTGACTTCTCTCCTCCTGTGCTTTTTGCCTTCAAAAGTGTTTTACACACTCTCTCTCTCTCTCTCTCTCTCTCTCTCTCTCTCTCTCTCCTGGTTGACCTGTGAGCAGTTTACGTGAACCAGAATCTTCTGCTGTGCAGCCTTCGTTTTAGCAGAAGCAGAATCACTGACATGCATGTGCACAATCTACAGCTCATTTTGTATAGATTATATGTATCACAATATCTGTGCTTGACTGAGATATTAAATTCTGGATATCACCCAAGTTTACTTCAGACCTCTCAGGGGCCCCAAATCACAGAATATTAGGATTTTGAGAATAAAAATCATAATTTTACAAGAAAAAAAAACTCATAATGAGAATAAAGTTGTAGTTTTAGGTTGCAGGTTGTTTTAGAGGGAAATTTCAGAAGCTTTAAAATGAGGAGCGAGGAGCATCCTGGGAAGTTCTACTTTAGCGGAGGTTTCACAAATAAGGAGAAACTCTTTTGGCTCATCATCATCATCATCATCATCATCATCATCATCATCATCATCATCATCATCATCATCATCATCATTATCATCATCATCATCATCAGGACACTAGAAAGATTGATACGAAACTGAATCTATTCTGTTGTTAGACAGACAAACAGCTGCTGCCAGAAGCAGCTCAGGCTGACACTGACTGTCCTTTTATCTGGTTTATTGGTTGATGTAATATTCTAAACATCATGTCTTTTTCCCTCAAAATTTTACATTTTTAATGATTTTTTTGTGAATAATTTTTTTTTAGGCTCAAACATGTAGCTGAATCTCTCTAATGTTTTTCTCCTCTTACTATTTTAGTTGAGTTTGTGCTCGCATGCTGCAAACACCACAGTAAAAGTCACGTTTCAGAATAAAAGCAGTGATTGGTTGGATAGAGGACATACTTCACACTGCACAGACGACCAGGGCCACAGATGTGTGAGGTAAATCCAGCCATATCACTGCAAACCTTCAGCAGCTTTACACACACACACACACAAACAGCTGTATGCACAGCAGTGTTACTGCAGAACAGCGTGTAGATGAGAGCAGCTGTATTGTGAGTCAGCTGTGTTAAAATACTGTATATGAGCACAGAGAGGAGGCAAGGAGAGAACAGATGAAGAGCTGAAAGCAGCTGACACCAGGCTGAATGCAGCCTCTGTTTTCCTCATGCACCAGTTGTCCTGTTGCACCTCTCACGCCCTGTGGGACACCTGACACTTTGTGTACATGTATAAAGTCTGAATACGTTCAACTCTATGCAGCAGTGAAGAGTGCAGCAGAGCTCGGCCTCACCTCAGCTCTGTCCCTGACGTCGTTGTAGGCCTCCTGCAGCCTCTCCTGGGCCTGAGGCTCCACGCTGGCGTCCTGGGTTCTGTTGTGCAGCGCGGCAGCCTCGTCCAGCAGCCTCTCCAGCAGCGCCGCCTGCCCGTGGATGTCGCTCACCGTCACCCTCTGCTGGTCCACCTGCCAAAGTTTCTCCTTCACGTCCAGCTGCAGCTCCACCCCAACGTCCAGGCTGCGCTGCTGCCTGATCAGCCACAGCTCGAACTCCTCGTAGGCCTTCAGGTACTCGCTCCAGTGGAGCCACACCCACTCGATACGACTGGGCGTGAGGTGAAACAACACAAGGAACATTTTGTATCAGCAATTTGTGTGTGTGTTTCAACAGTGTTGACATGCATAAAAAATGGATCCTACTTGCTAATCTTACTATGTAATTAAAACCTCCTTCAGCGCGAAGCATCTATGAATTAAATGTAATTACAAACCACCAGCTATTTGTCACATTGAGGAGCTGCTTGAAAAAAGTAGGTAATTATATAAGTAAGTTTTGTTTGATTTGATTATCTTTAGATTAAAAAATAATCTTGTACGTATGCACAGGCGTTGCTAAAATAGTTGGCAACACAGCTCCTGAGATGTCATTGCAAATCGTTCAGGGAATGACATGGGGCCCCTTAAGGGAGGTTTCCCACTGAGATGTCATTGCAAATCACCCATCGGTTGCTTAAGGGGGCCGCATTTTGAGACATTGCTGTAGAGTTTGTCAGCCCTCGGGGGCCCCAAGCAGTTACCTGCCTTGCATGTTCACATAGACCGTGCCTCTGCGTTCTGAGGTAAATTCATCAGTGCAGTTAATTATTTCAGGTATTATTGCTCATGACTTGCTGTCGATCTCCAATATCTCACTGTACATGGTTCTATAGTACTACAGCATCGTTTACACGTAAATCTAATTTATTTATAGTTTAGTTATAAACAGAGCATGACACTTTATTCATAACGTACAACTGCATCCTCTGACGCCATGGAAATGAAAAGCTATTCATAAAAAACTATGAAGCCGACCTTGAGTCAAGAGCTTTTTAATTTAAACATTTGGAATCCAGTTAATTATTCTAATTAACTGCAGTCTGTAATTATTCCAGTGCTGCTGTCCTTCTAAAACTGTGACACTGAAGGAATTAGTCAATTAATCAATGAATCCAGCAACAATCTGATAATTCATTTGTTTAGGATGTTTATTAAATAAAGAATGGAGAGCATTATGTGGTTGCAGCTTCTCTAATGTTAAGTTTTAAATCACGGTAAACTGAATATCTTTGGCTTTTGGAATTTTGGTTCAAAAACAAGCAGACTTTTTGTATCCAAAAACGTTTCTCATCTGCAGCCTCAGGGTAACATTGAAATTTAAAAGCATGATAACAAGTGAATCAATCATCAAAAAAAACAAATCAATATTTTCAGTTTAGCAAATTGTTTTCTGTATAACATGTATAAAATGTCACTGAAACAAACAGCTTTTAAATGAATTTGACATTGTTGATGCTGTGTGTGCCTTTTCTTTGATCGTTCCGGTGTGGAACAGTCACCTGACAACATACATGGAGCGGTGGATCCGACCAAAGCTGCCGTCAGGTGTCAAAACACCTTCAGATCACCACAGTCCAGCTGAAGTGGTCTGCGTGAATCTGGACTGACCTGTGACAGTGGATGATGTAGGTGCAGGTCTCCTCCCACAGGCTCTTCAGATCTTTCAGCTTAGCGTGGGTGTGGTTCCTCAGCTCCTCGTCTCCGCTCTGCAGGAGGTTCTCGGCTGCCACCAGCACCATGTCCATCTTCACACGACCTTCGTGCTCCGACTGATGGATTTTCTGCACGTTCAGAGGGGCACAGGGAGCAGAGCATCATTTACCATGTTCGTCCATAAAACTGTACCTGACACCTAATCCTCCCCTGTTTATTTCTCCAATGAGAGAGATCATTTACAGTAAGTGTTATTATCTGATGGAAAAAAGTCCCACTTGAAACATTATATTTAAGACTTTTGAGGACTTGCAGATTTGCAGGAAAGGTAAGCCAAGGTAACAATAAAAACAAAGAAACAAAGATTTGAAAATCAGTGACTGAAAAGAAGATGGTGGGGATATACTGAAAGTATTCAAACCCCATAATTCTATTCATACTTTGTTGTAGATTAATTTTTTTTGTTTTTTGCATCTACATTCAATAACCCATAATGACAAAGTAAAAACATTGTTTTTTAGTTTGTAGAAACCGCTTGGGCAGCGATTACAGTTTCACATCTTCCTGGGTAAGTCTCGGGATTTACACATACTTATTTAGCTTATTTAGTTTATCCCATTCTTCCTGGCAGATTCCCTACTGCTCCATCAGAGTGGATGTATAGTGTCTGTGAACTGTCATCTTCAGGTCTCTGCACAGCTGGTCTGTGGGGTTTAATTCTAGGCTTTAGCTGGGACACTCAAGGAAAGTGAGAGACTTAGTCCTGAAGACACTCCAGTATCTCTGTATTTGGCTGAGCCAGCGTATAGCTCCTACTGTCACCCAGCGGTGACGTCCGGAGGAAGCACAGCCCTCAGCTGAATCGCACTGTTCACCACCAACCAGTTTGAAAAGGTTGTCCCCACTCAGTGACACACTCCCTTAGAAACCAACTCTGGTTACCGGCAGCTCGATCTTGAGAAACACAAAGTTAGCGACCGTCGTTAAATGCATTCCTGGGGTCAGGACAGCCAATGTAAAATCCTCTTTAAAAAAGGAGGAAAAAGAAAATGATCATACTGACTCGTATGAACCCAGAGTAACCAACCAAAATTATTTTATGAATGAGGCTGAAACATGAAAGAGAGAACGCCTTGCACAGTTTAAGAGTTAGACCACTGGACAGCACTTCATGTGTCACACAAATCAAAGCGTTCAAGAACAGGATCAAAGGCTTCCACCTCTTCTTCAATCTCCTCAGAATTTAAGACATCAAAGACTGAAAAGGCAGCTCTGCTGTCCCGAGCTGCTTCATTGAAAAACAAACACATCCTGCAACTTGAGGAAGCAAAACAGAAGACAATACTAGAGTAAATTGAGCTGGAAGCAGAACCTGCAGCATCAACTGCCAGAACAGAAGTCCTTCAAAAAGTGGATGCCTGCCAACTGCTGTGACTCACAAAACCCGAGCTTGAAACACACCCTTTCTGGATGCAAGGCAGCATGTACAGAGCACCGGTATGGATGGCGCCGTGCCTGGATCCTTCATATGCTAGCCGAGATCCTGGAGGTCAACGGGGCCAGCCTGGCAACATCACAGTGGCTGATCGGGTTTGTCAGGTGTGTGCTCACAAGCAGGGTGTAGGGCGTTCACCTGTCCAGTGGAAGAGGGACAGGTCGGAACATCCTCTCTCCTGCAGATCTCTCCAAGATAACTTTAATAACAGTTTCTTCATCTAAACCATCAACTTGTCTCTCAGTTGATGATTATTTGATTCTAGGCTGTTCTTGCTCTCTCACTCTCCCCATGCATTTATATTATACTCCTACTACTTATTATTATCATCACTATTATTACCTCCAGCCCACCTGTTGGAGGCTTCACTGTAGGAATGGTATTAGCGAGGTGATAAGGAGTGTGTGGTCTTGGCCAGATATAGGTTTGGAGTTGTGCTCAAAGGGTTTGGAAAGGAAATAAACAACATCTGGATGATTGATCTTGATACTAAGGTAGCAGGTATTCAACATGCACTGATTATTGTCATCTTCCTGAAGGCGGGCCTTATATTACTATTATTATTACTATTACCTTTATGTGCGAACGTTGTCTCAACAACAATCTCAACTGACAGATTCCCTAACATAGATATTAACATTATTATTGGAATGGGTTTCCTTGAAGAAACATTGTAAATGCATGTTATTTTATCCAGGGAAATGTCATTACATTTAAGTAAGTTAACACTTTAGTGGTTGATAATACAACACAGTGGTGATGCAGGTTAATGCTGGAAAAAAAGGACAATTAAGAATGAATAAATGTAGGAATGAATGAAAGCTAGTTAATATATTTATTGTTCAGTAAATGTCCGTAATTGTTAAAATTACACTTTTATTATCTTCAATAAAAGAGTATTTTCCTAAAAACTTCATATGTGAGCCAGAGAGACATTTCCCCGGCTTATTACTGTGCACAAATGTACTGTATCTATAAAGGCCTCATGAGCCCTGCTGATGCAGCAGATACACACAAACCTCCCAGCACAGAGTCCTTTACAAGCACAAAAAAAAATTCATGCAGGCATGGAAAAAAAAAAAAAAAAAAAAAAAACTTTTTCGAACATGTTTCTCCTCCACTGTTACAACTCAATCCTAAAGGAAAAATGTACGCTCTATATCCAAGTATATCCAACTGTAATACTTTAAATTAATTTATTCGTTTAAAATTGATTTTTAATTAGAAAAAATATTTTTCTAATCATTCAAAATAGTCTTTACAGATCTTCAGATACTTGGTTTCTAAATGAACTGTATTAGTATTGAGGTGTTTTTTTTCACTGTCTTATGACAGAGGACATAATGTTTGTCAGTTAGATTTTTCATGTGTCACTGTGTGATTTCTTTGTCGGTGTATCTACTAGACTGTCATTAAAAAAGGATCTGCAGATACTGAACTCTGCTCAAAGACCAAAACCTGCAGCTGTCTGGACTCTAATGACTGAGGACTAAAGTAGTAGCAGGGGGTCAGAGGTGAAGGGTCAAACAGAGGGTGAAGTATCTCACCTCTGTCTCCCTGAGTCGGGCCTCCAGGGCATCACGGGGCCCTTGGGTGTTGTCATTGGCCTTCAGCCTCTCCTGGATGGCCCGCATCCAGGAGAGGGCCACTTCCAGGCTCTCCGTGAACTCCTGCTGCTCCTGCTGTGTCATGATCAGTCCCGAGCCTGAAGAGAGGAACAAAGGTCAGACTCTACATCAGCTGATGCTTCATTTTCCAAACAGTGAGCATGATGTTTTAAAAGATATGGGTGTTTACAATGTAGGCGTGGTCTAACAGAAAGATGATACTGGTTGCATCATGGGATGTTGGATCTTGCCCATATGAGTGGCTAAAAGTCAGGATATCTTGGCTTTTATTTTGATGTTGTTTCAAAAAATCTGGATCCTTCCTAGCTGTCGGAGAATGCCTTGCTAAGTAACTTATGCTTCTTTACGTATTCGAGCAAGGACAAGTGACATACTATAAAGAAAAGAAAGCCTCTCAGAAATCACATGAAGGAAAAATCTAATTCTGCTTATAAGAATTTTTGATATTTTTCAGGCTTTCCTTTAGTCTAGATGAACTGCTAATAACAAACATTCTAGTTTTTTCTTTTTTCTTTATGTGTATTTACAAGAGCATGGCAATGTTAACATTCCAGGAATTCTGTCAGCTGCATTAAGGCCAGTACTGCACTGTGCAGAAACTCAATGTGTCCTCGGAAGATGCAGCTGGAAGCAAAAACCTTAAGCGAAAACAAACTGACAGAGGTTTTCAAGAGCCTGCAGTAAAACGTATGGAGGGAGGAGTCCTGGCTCTGTAGGAGCACAAAGAGGCACCACATCATATCTGAGAGGGAAAATAAAACTCAGATGGCACGCGCCATTTTCCTGAATGACTCATTTCTCCCCGACATAACATTCCTTCTACCCAGTGTCTGCTGGTTTTCACTCTTGAAACATGGAAATATTTAGAACTCAATGTCCTCAGTCAAAGCTGAAAAACACATCTCTACACATTTTTTTTTTTAGATGGCATGCTAGCACTTAGATAGAGTACATGAAGCTTGACTGCAGTTTTCCCCTTTTCTTTTTCTAATGTTTCCATAGTTAAAGGCCCTATTTGTAAGTTTTGCTAAGGCTACACAGCCAACGCTATCATTAACAACTGTTTACTTGCCAGTCGTGGCAAGAGCTTCGGCCATTGTTGCATTTACAGAACAAGAAGTTATAATACACCCTCTGTCCAGCCCTATTTCTTCAGGGCAAACTGGACACTAAAGTGACTTTGTATCGGAAAGTGACAAGACAGGCCAACCAGGCCGGGCTAGCTGGTTAGCATGCTAACCTCAGTAGTAGAGAAGAAGAAATAGAGATAGAAGCTAAACAAGAAGGTTGCTTTCACCCTCTTGAGACAGCTCTTGGTGAGTAAAGGGGTGAAGTTTGATGCTGAACTTGCAATGTTTCTTCTAGACTGGTAAGTAAACAGCTGTTAATGCTAATGTTAGCTATATGGTGATAGCAAAAACTTACAAATAGCTCCTTTTCCATAGTCACAATTCTAGAATTTTCATAATTAATATCACTCTAAATGGACTAGCAAACTTGCAAGAAGTCACTCCTTGGAACTTGGAACAGTTGACAATGCACATTGTAACCAGGTGCAAATTAGCTCATTTGCATCTGCAGATTGTGTTTCCTTTTCTGTCATTACACCATTTTATTTCTATTTCATTTTATCTGTAACAAATTCACAACATACATGTTAGCCTTTGTTTTTTTCATTGTTGTGGTTAACCACTGCATTCTGTGTGGAGATAGTGAAGCCCCGCCCTCCTCCGTCTGACAGCTTGTGCTGAAAACTCGCATGACGTTAACTTTAATCCATTTCACTCGTAATTACCACTGATGACGGTGATATTCAGTGTTTTTGTTAGCTTGGTGAGCTAACTGTGGTTACAGTATTCGTTTTTAATTCAATGACGCTTGTACATTTACACACTGTCTAACTTAGAGGTATAAGTTCAGTCCAGTGTAAACTAACTGCACGCTATGCTAGTTTAGAGGTGAAGAGTGAACGTTAGCACCGCACAGTAACGTTCCCAGGCTACAGACCCATACCGGTAAGGAGTAGATCTGAGCAGCTCATTATGGCACAGTAATCTAATGTAGAGCTGGTGTGAGTACAGGAGGCTACAGTGAGTTATCCGTGTTAGTAGGTGGAGGTAGGCCTATTATCAGTAAGCTAAGCTAAACAACGGTGATGATTTATCGGTCAGGTTCCGCTTAAGAAGAGTAGAAACACTCACGGCTTTGTGTTCATCGGGTGAGATGACCTGCTGGTGTCAACGCTGCCTGCTGTGTTGTGTACAGTAAAGTTATGGCAGGCAGGAAGTAGAGCCGAGGCCGCCGGGGGCTGGAGTCAACACACAGCCCGTCATGCTGCTTTCATGGACTCCTCGTAAACTAGGACACCAAACGGAAATGTAAAAGAAATGGAACCTTTGTTAATTACTACACAAAACTCTACTGTCAGTGTACATGGAAATTGCAATTGCAACTTAAATGGATTAGTTATAATACAACGTGTTTTAAATAATTATTAAAAAAAATAAAAATAAAGCTTCCTTGAATGAAACAAAGGTGTTGATGGTAGTATAATAGTAGAATTGTACAAAATAGTATATTCATATCCAATTTAAGAATAAACAAAAAAATAAAGAAAGAAATGGCCTATACCCAGGAATTCCGGTCCAGATACCAAAATCAAACTTCTGGCCCAAGATATGCCTGGGTCCTCGGCCCGAGTCTGACCCATGTAATTCCACATCTAGGTCTGAGTACAGCTGTTATCCTCTGGTATTAACAGACAGCTGGAAGATTTTCTATTGGTGCACCTGATTTGGTCCAGACGTGGTATATGCAAACCTCAATGAGAGAGTGCTTCTTTCTGTGACACTCCAAAGACTTTTGTTAAAAACTCGCATTTATCAAAAGCATACATTACATATATTTTTATTCTTTAAAATTAAATTCAGCTCAATGGTTTCATTTGTGACAGTTCAGTTCATACTGTACTCATATTAAGTTACATTCATACAATTTTTCAGTGTTTCTGACGGCACCTGAACTCATCAGCAGACCAGATTGAACCAGAGGAAGGAACAAATCCACAGCAGCTGCTGACCCACAGCCTCTTAGTCACTGATTCAAACTGAAGGGCGCGTTTCACAGGTTTCTTCCTATTGGTAGAAAGAACAGCAACAGTTCCCGCCCTGATTCCATTCGGACTTTCAGAATTTATCTTTGATTTCACATAAACATACAGTGGACACTCCATGAAAAGAAACTTTAAATAATTAAATCACTACTGAAAACATGCATTACATATCAGTTAGCAGTACTTGGCAGCCTTCTATAAATCATATTAAACCAACTGGCATTAATGATGTTAAATCAATTATTGAGAAACAGACTTACACACTGTTGCTTTTGGTCTTTTCATGGAATTTGTTCACAGCAAGAAAAATATGAAACCACAGCAATGTCTGTCACTGAAGTTACAGACAGTGAGATTAAACTGATGTGGACTCATCCTGCTGCCAACATGGAAAATAAATGACTCCAACCTCGCTGGCAGCATGACAGATTAATCATCACACTCACCACAGAAATCAAAATAATTTGTCATAATTAAAAGACACAAATAAAGCGAGAAAGCATCTCCATTTGTTTTTGTTTTTTCCCCTTCGAGACTCAATTCTGTACAAAATCAGATGCAATAACAAGAGTTCAAACAGAATGAGCATGGCATGAACACATGAAATAGTGCCTGCGCTCCATTTAGCCACTGACACTGTGTCAGTGAATGATCATATAGCAGCAGGCAGAGTAGACGCAGCTGTGGTTCTGTATGATTCTCCAAGAGTCAGGGGCCAGTTGCACAAGACACCTTATGTTAAGATTTTCCATAAAGTCTAATTAAATGTAATCATAACATCAATTTGTCAAGGACTATGACATCCAGCACAAAGAAATGGCTCTTCTCCCTCATTCCTCACCAGGCTATTTCTTTTTTTTTTCTTACATCAGTTTCTTTTACATGAATGCATTTGGATGTTAAATATTATTTGGTTGAGGTGCTGTGTGTTCAGAACAGAAGCTGTAATATTGGTGAAAATATATTTTTGGAAAGGCCTCAAAAGTAACAGAAGTGAATTTCTTTTATTTCATAAAACAGTTGCACAAAACAAACTTCAGTCTTCTTTACCTTAACCTTAAGGTTTCCTTGTAATGTCCACTTAAGTATTTAAGGTTTTCTCCTTATCTTAGTCTTATACTTAAGCAAACACTTAAAGTCAGTTATACCGTTGCATAAAAGAATTTAGCGACCAAAGTAAGGAAAAAAACTAAAGGTATCTCTGACTCTTATCTCAACACGGGTTAGTTTAAGAACCTAATGGACACACTTAACAATGAGGAATGTATTCTACATTACAGATTTGACCAGCAGTCAGTTCATGATTTGTCCAACTGTCTAGAGTCAGATCCCTCTACTATCCGCAGCTGTGCTTTTATATATAATATAGTAATTATTTATAGTCGAGGTGTTGTCATGTCCACAGACCAGCAGTGTGCCAGGTCATTCACCAAGTTTAAACTCTCGGATCGTCTGCTGAGCACTGTGAAGTTCCTGTCAAAACAACAGGAGGATTAGATAGCAGCATACTCCTTTAATATTACCTGCCTAATCTCTTTCACTGCTGTAAATTAGTTACCTTTTTTTTCTTAACTAAGGAAACTTTTTAAGAGATTCTGTGCAACACCCTTCAGTAACTCACACAGCCAAGGAGAAATTAAACCCTAAGTGTTATACTCAAGTACAAAACTTAAGCTGTTGTGCACACCTGGCTCCCAAACTCTTCCCTCGTGTGTTTTGATGATGAGCGCTGCCAAGCACGTCACTCCAGAATCTCCCGTAGATGTTCAGCTGACTGTGGAGGCCACAGCATATGATTCATTTCATTTTCATCCTCATCAAACCATCAGTAACCCATGGTGCCCTGTGTGGAGACATCTGCATTTGCTGTTTCCCCAGTCGTCGTTGTTTTTTTTGTCCCTCGTCTGTATCAGATACGGCAGCATCAACATATAGAACTGCTGTCTGTTGGGATGTATAAAATTATTAATAAAAAATATGTTAAATTATAAGTTGTTATCATTCATATTTTAGCAGGTTCATTGCAGAACAAAACATTTTTTCAAAAGAATTGTATATTTGACATGATGTATTTCCATGGGCATTATTTAATTTAGTAATTTACTGTAATGTACTGTTTACATTTTATGGTACAAGTATCTACCAATATAACGCATACATATGAGACATGATTAAACAGTAAATAGAAGTCTGTAAAATCAGGTAGGAATAGGCCCAAAAGGGGGGTTAAGTGATTCCCATCGAGTCACTGTAGATATTCTTGGGTTCCAGTGGAACCTGATCAATATTAATGACCAGTCACAGATATTATTATCTCAGTGCACATTTTCAACAAAAGAACAAGAAAGACAAATATACATTCGGTGTAATTTAGAGGAGCTATTTGTAAGTTTTGCTATTGCTGCATAGCTAATGTTAGCATTAACTGTTGGCAGTGTTAGCGTGTCTGTCCATTGGTCCACCACTTTGGTCCAACAATGAATGTATAAGATACAGTCTGATAAAATCTTTCACAGACATTCACGCTCACCAGATGATGAATCCTACGGCCTCTGGAGATCCCCTGACTTTTCATTTAGCACCACTGAGAGTTGAGATTTGTGGTTTTGAGTGAACTGTCCTGACAGGTTTTGGATGGATAAGTTTTGGTACACATTTGATTTTCACTTCCTCAGGATGAATCATAATACCTGGTGATCCTGTGTCTTGTTTGTCTCATACGCACACAAACTAATTGTGTTGAAATGAGCCTCAGCTGTACTTTGTGTTTAGTGCTAATTGGCAAATGTTAGCAACCTAACAAACTGATGGTGTGTTCCATTTGAGTGTGTGTGTGTGCACAGGTGTGCCTGCATGGGGGAGGGAGGTGTTAGCACAACAGGTCCGGCTCTTCCAAGTTGACGGGGTCCGCTATGAAAGTCATGTAGTGTGTGCATGGCATTAGATGCTATTATCTGCGAGCTCAGCCTCACAGAGCTTCTGTCATGGATCTAAACTCTTAGTCTTGTTTTAACACCGAGTAGTTTGTTTATAGGCATTTAAGTTGATAAATAACTATCACAGAGTAATGTTATCACATTTTAATGTTAGCAAACTTTTAAACCTGCAGTGCAGCGCTTTTGTCTCCCTCCTCTGACAGTGAAAGTAATTACACAAACACTGATGAATAACTCATTACTTAGGTTTAGTTAGTTAGTTAGTTAGTTAGTTAGTTAGTTGCATAGCCTACTCTAAATATTTTACAAATACCAACCTGTCCAAGAGCAGTAAGACAACATGTCTGCCCTCAGTCTCTTCTCTTCTTCCAGTGCTCTCCAAACAAGGAAAAGACACAACGGTAATCTGTCCTCAGCGTCGATCGCATTCCTCGCGCCTCCTATAGGAACCTTCAGCCTGTTGTACTGTGTTGCACGAGTAAGACTAGAGATAACGCAGCTGTCTGTGGTTGTGTTGAGCCTCCATGTATGTTTACAATACACATATAGACAACAGAAACTCAGTGGTTGAGGTAAAACACATGGCTACCAGTGCAGGAAAGTATCACGGACACCAGAGTTAAATCTGGGCTACACTGCAGAATACAGAGAGACGTACCTGGAGCTGACAGGGTTAATCAGCATCGTGTGAAGTCGTTTGCTAAAGGACCAAATGCCTTAATATTTGGTAATAACACACATGTCAAGTCATGTCAATAGATTTTATATTATGGTTCAACTGGAGATAAACTTTAGGATTAACAGTTGTAATTATTGAAATGACCACAAACAAACTGCCTCTTCAAAAGATTCACTTCTCCCACATCAACAATTAATGGACCGTCAAAGAGTCGAACATGCAAGGCTCATGATAACCGGGTGTAGTAAAATGTCAGGACGCTGAATGTGCAGGTGAATCTCAGCTGGGAGTGTAGGTGTGATGACTGTTGCTACTAAAGTCAGCTCGCCCACAAGCAGATCTGTTTGAGAGCCATGTGTGTTCAGGTGATACATATTCATGAGCACCTGTGTGTGTCTTCTTGCGGCTCCGCTGTGTCTCCGCTGTGTCTCTGCTGTGTCTCTGCTGCATGGTAAAGCAACATCGCACCTTGTCAGCTCTCATCACAGAGCTGCTTGAGCCTCATTGGCTTTGGAAGTGGTGACTT